ACCCCATGAGGTATTATTTCTTCTTTTATATTGGCTGACTCAATTTGCTAATATTATGTTAAGGATTTTCACTTGTATTACAAAATTCTTGAGTAATATTGACCTATAATTTTCTTTTCTTGCAAAATTTTATTGTTGTTGTTTGTTTATGTCCTTTTTATATTTTGATATCTGGATGATATTGGCCTCATTAAATGAGTTGGAAATATTCCTTCTTCCTCTTCTGCTTTCCAAATAGTTTGTGTGAGGTTACTATTATTTCTTCTTTTAAGTGTTTGATAGAATTCACAGGTAAAATCATATGGACCTGAACTTTTCTTTGAGGGGAGGTTTTTGATAGCAAATTTAATATCCTTAATTAAAATTTCTGTTTATTTTATAGCAGGTTTAAATGGTTTTATTTTTCATTTGAGTTTTAAAATTTATTGGCATAAAGTTATTCATACTATTTTTATTCATATTAACTTTTTTCATCACTGGAGTGATATGCTCTTTCATCCTTGATATTTCTAATTTTTGTTTTCTCTCTTTTCACTCAATGAGTACTAGCTATCAGTTTGGTTAATCTTTTTGAAGAATTATTTTCTACCATAAATGTTCTCAATTGTCTTTTTTCTTTTTCAATGATTTTTGCTCTTATCATTCTTATTTAATTTCACTTACTTACTTTAGGTTTAATATACTCTTCTGTTTCTAGCCTTGAAAGATGCATTTAAATCAATGATTTTAAATTTATCCCCCTTCCTAAAGTATGCATTTCCCACTTAACACTGCATTAGCAGTATTCCTTAATTTTGATAAACTGTATTTTAATTATTTTTCGGTTTAAAATATTTTCTAATTTCTCTTGTGATTTATTTGAGCAATGAATTTTAAATATTTGGAGGTTTTAAAGCATGTGCTGTTGTTACTGGTTTTAAACTCAGTTGCACTGTGGTCAGAGAACATACTCTGAAATCTTTTGAAAGTTATCAAGACATTTAAGGAAACAGCATATGGTCCATTTCGGTGGACATTTGTGTCCACCGAATCTTTTCAACCTTGAAAAGACAGAATACTCTGCCATTGTGCATGTAAGTAAGGCAAGGTTGGCAATGTTAAAATTTTCAATATCTTTACTCATGTTTTTGTCTGGTTCTATCAGTTCCTGAGAAAAAAAAGTGTTAGGTCTTAAATTTTTATTATATATTGCCTATTCTCCTTTTAGTTCTGTTAATCTTTGCTTCACATATTTTGAAGCTCTGTTACTGAGGCATATACATTGCTGTTTGCTATATTCGAATCGAATGTCCATCACCATTGTGACCTGTTGCTGGGTATCCCTGGCCGTACTCTTCATCTTGAAGACTACTTTGTCGGTATTGACAGAGTCACACAGCTTTCTTATTCTTAGCATTTGCATGGTATAACTTTCCCCATATTTTCTCTTTCCACCTACCTATGTCCATTCCAATTATACATCTGGGGACTGAGGAAATCATTACTGTGTGATTATGGATCCACTGAGAGCTGGCTGTGGACTCATGTCCTCACTCCAACAGGACCGTGTGATGCTTCCCTGTCCATGGGTGTCAATATCACCCTGTCCTTTCCAGCGGAGCCTCCTGACATCGACAAAGGTATCCGTATAGCCGGAGAGCAGAATACCTGGACGTTTCCATGTCTCTTAGTTATACTAGACTACAGGGTCTTGTAGGACATGACTTTTGACTGCTTATCCAGCCTCACATGGCACTCGCCCCGAGACGGTCCTCCAGCCACCTGGACTTCAGAAATGCAGAGTGTCATGCCCAGCCACCTGGCATGTCCTTCAGTGTACATTTTCCTTCAGGTTAGGAATATGACCTAAGGACCCCCAAGGGTCCTTCCCTGATCATCCCATTCACAGTAGTTTCCTTCAACTATCAATTACCACTGCTTCTTATTCATTTGCTTCACAGTGCTAATTCTAATTATGCACATTTATGTAAATACAAATATATGCGTGTGTATGTATACGTAATTTTTAAAGTTCTCTTTCCTTTGGATTTTAAGGCCCACAATCACAAAGACCTTGACTAGTCCGTTAACAAATAAATAGCTCTTATTTTTTAGCACAAAGAAATAGATGCTCATCAAATAGTTTTTGAATTATAAGAAAAAATATGTTCATATATTTAAATATAATAAGCATTGTACCTACGGATTACATACAGACGTGGAAATCTCTCGATCTTTAGAACCCTATCCACATTCATGGGTGGGAGAGACACAGCATCTACCCTGACTTTCGACTTTCTTGATCATTTGACCTCTGGGAGATCCTTAAAAGCATTACTACTCTCTCACTTATCCTGGAATTTCCAGCCACAGGCCATATTTTACTAGCGTGTTTTGCTCACCTGCATACACATAAAAATGTGTAGCTGTCCAGTGTTTTTAATGGAACTGAGTAAAGCTACATATCCAGTTTTTCTTTCTTTCTCTCTTTCATATTTTAAGAAATTTCCAGAGAGTTTTTTAGTTTAGTTTTGTTTTTTCTTCATTGTCAGGTCTGCAAAAAACCCCTTAAAGCCTCAATCCCGTTTCCAGAAAATTTAATCACAAAATTAGGCATGTCTGCCCCCTAGTGGCAGGCCTGGTGATTCTCAAAGAAACCGAGTATTTGACCCTGGCTTTTGATGGAATTACCCACCACAAAACGGTCACGTCAGAGTGTGTTTAACCACCGGCTCTAATTTCACTCTGCATAAAAAGAACTTGCCTTTTCTTCCATCTCAATGTTTGAATTTATTTGTTTATACTAAGTGTATATTACCTTTACGGTAAAAATATGAAAATTCTTTTAAAAAATGATATTTATAACGGCCTTGGCCTTTAGGGAGACAATAGTATGTTTAATAAAACTCTTTTAATAAAGGAGTTTTAATACTGAAAATACAGAAAACAATGTAATACATTGATTTTTTTTACACATTTTGAAAACAGGATCATTTTTATAGTCCATATATTCTCTCTAGACCTGTTACCAACCCACGTTCTAATAGAGAGCAAGTCAAATAACGATTTTAAGTCCGGGAGTAAAAAAGAGTAAAAAAAAAAATCATTTTTTCTTTTTCTTTTTTTTTTTTTTTTTGAGACGGAGTTTCGCTCTTGTTACCCAGGCTGGAGTGCAATGGCGCGATCTCGGCTCACCACAACCTGCACCTCCTGGGTTCAGGCAATTCTTTTGCCTCAGCCTCCTGAGTAACTGGGATTACAGGCACGCGCCACCATGCCCAGCTAATTTTTTGTATTTTTAGTAGAGACGGGGTTTCACCATGTTGACAAGGATGGTCTCGAGCTCTTGACCTCGTGATCCACCCGCCTCGGCCTCCCAAAGTGCTGGGATTACAGGTGTGAGCTACCACACCCAGCCTATCCTTCATTTTTCAGATCAGGGTTTCATGATAGTTTCGATCCTTGGCTCATTTTGATAAACCTGAAAATCTCAACATATACAACCACTATCTGGGAAGAGTTTCCTCAAAGCTTTAACTTCTATAGTATGTAGGACAAAATAATAATTTCTATATTAATTCATTATCTTAATGCTGTGAAGAAATACCTGAGACTGGGTAATTTTAAAGAGAAGAGGCTCACACTTTCACAGGCTCTACAGGAAGCCTGGCAGGATCAGCTCGGCTTCTGAGGAAGCCTCAGGAAACTTACAATCATGGTGGAAGTCAAAGGGGAAACACCAGTTTACATGGCTGGAGCAGGAGGAAGAGAGGGGTGAGGTGCTGCACACTTTTGAACAACCATATCTCAGAAGAACAGTATCACCATGACAGCACTAAGGGAGATGGTATTAAACCATAAGAAACCCACTCCATGATCCAGTCACCTCTCACCAGGCCCCACCTCCAACACTGGGGATTGCAATTGAACATGAGATTTGGATGGGGACACAGATCCAAACTATTTCCTTCATTTCTAAACTTAGAAAACACATTGATTATTTGCTTTGCCTACCAATGACCTGCCTCCACCCTCCACACAACCCAAGCGACTGTCCAATGAGGATCACTGTTTTAAAATTCTAGTTTCATTAGCAACAGATTATCTTCCCTCTCGCTGATCTCAGAAGGTTTCACCCGTCATTTATTCTAAGCAAAATACATGTTCATTCTCAGTTATCATAAATGATCTTCATCTCAAAAATCTCTGATTTCTCTCTCAACATAGCATGGTTCATTCTACATTTATTTTTAATTAATATTTTGATCAATGGGCATGGTAAGCACATGACTACAGACTACTATGATTTGTCTGCCTGGTGGTGCCTGAGCCCATGCTGTTTCTATCACCGCTCAGGGTTTGTGCTGGTGATGGAGGAAGTTTCAGGAGGGAGAAGGATTGAGGGCTGGCTGATATGCACAGTAGTTGATAAATGTTTAAAGAGCTGAAATTTTAAATTTTATTTAGTATATGACTACTCATATAGAAATTTCATGTAAGTCAGGGAGTCAGTTTTTAAGTAGGCAAAAGTTTCAAATGCTTCAAAACTCAGCTGGCTAATTATTAATCTTTCAAAAAAAAGAGGTAATTTGTTGGCCGGTGGTAGGGGTAGGCAGTGGTTCAGGAGGTGTGAATGGAAAAGCAAATATACTATGTAGAAGAGGTGTCACTTAAGGTAACCTCCTCAATTTTATTTTGCAAACTATAATCCAGTTTCAGCATAAATTTTAGACCACTGAAATTAGAAAAGCTATAGATAGTTGAGGTCATTAACAATTATGAAGGCTGTGTATTTGTGTGTGTATTGGGGGTGATGTAGTGAATGTTAGGGGAAAGCTCTGAGAGAAGGAGGATAATCTGGATGACACATTTGAGATTAAGACAGTTAAACATATATATATACTTCCTAAATAGACTATGACTCTTTATGCTCAGTGTTACATATCATGGCCACAAGATGGGGACAAAACATAATCTTCGTTTGTCTCATGCTGGTGACAAAAAACTCAAACAATGCAGGTCTTAAGTCAAAGTTACTCTGTTTTTACATGAATAAGAAGTCTCCTCCCATTTTCCCTTGAAATTTAATGGTAAGGCTGGCCCTATATCCAGTACAGACTATGTGCTTGTCAGAGGAAGCATATAATTTGGACAATATGACAGCCAAAGCTTGCTTTCCAGTGTTACCCTAGGTCCAGATTGTAGAATCCTGGAGTCATCACGTTCTGCAGGAACCCTGGGTATGGGAGCAGAAGCTTCAGTCCCCAGTCTGCATTCTTCTCATAGGATCCAACTAAGTCACTGCGTCAGATGGTTGTAGTCTTCCTCTACTCTTTCTTTCTCCGTTTTTGCGTGGAATTTCTCATCTTCGATGTTTGTGTTTAATCTAAGAGTTTTGCAGAATATTGAATTTAAGCATTTCATATCCTGATATTTTTTAAACTTCTGTGGCCTCCCAGAGTTGACCATTTAGAATACATTGTCTTCTATGATAAAATTTTAGAATATCAGTGTGCACTATATCTTATATATTTCATACGTTTTAATATGTGAAATAAAAATAACTATGTATTGCTTTATCTACACAGATATCAGATATTTCTGATTTCATATGTATGAAATCAATATTTGAACCTGGACTCACTTCTCATATAAAGTAATATCAACTGTTCTTACTGATAAACATGTTTATATATAGATATATGAGATAAATTTCATTCACATATAAATATATAGTTACCGCTAGCTATGGATGAAGGAGTATGTGTGTGTACAGTAGATAAGACCTGGCATTTGATAGCACAACAGGTTGACGATAGTCAGTAATAATTGATTATATGGAACATAACTAAGTGTAGAATTGGAATGTTCCTAAAACAAAGAAAGGATAAATACCTGAAGGATGGATACTCCAATACCCTGATGTGATTATTACACATTACATCTGACATGGTTTGGTTCTGTGTCCTCACCCAAATCTCATCTCAAATTGTAATTCCTACATGTCGGGGAGGGAGGTGCTTGGATCATGGGGGCAGTTTCTGCCATGCTGTTCTCATGATAGTGAGTGAGTTTTCATGAGCTTTAAACAGTGCTTGGAGTTTCCTCCTTTGTTCTCTCTCCTGCGGCCTTATGAAGAAGGTGCATGCTTCCTCTTCTGCCGTGATTGTAAGTTTTTTGAGGCCTCCCCAGCCACGCAGAATTCTGAGTCAATGAAACCTCTTTCTCTGATAAATTGCCAAGTCTCAGGGAACTTCTTTATAGTAGTGTGAAAATGAACTAATACAATATGCCTGTATCAAAACATCATATGTACCCCATAAATATATGCATGTATCACATGCCCATAATTTTAAAAGGAAAATTATTTTTAAAAAGATGTATGTATATGCATATGCATTTATGTAGCTATTTTAGCTACATGTTTATAGATAAACTCCACAGCAAACTTTACATTTCTCTAACTTTCTGCTTGGCATTTCCAGCTGGGTGTTGCATAGGGATCTCAGATTCTCAGCATGTATTCTCATTGCTTTCATAAATTGCCTGTCTTCGTGAGTGGGACTACAAGTCAGCCAGTAGTCCATGGATGTTGACATCATCCCATCCTTCACCACGACTCTACAGTCAGTCACTGTCTCGGGGATTATATTCCAAATATTTATAGAGCCTAATAGTTCTCTTGTCCTTACAGAAACTTTCAGAGAGAGGGCCTTCTACTGAACCCACGGACTCCTTTGAGTCCATCCCAACATGGCCATCAGCCTCGTCTCTCTCAAGTGGGAATCTGACCATGTCTTTAACCTAGTTTAACTTTTCAGTGCATCTCTCATCCCATTACCTAGAATTCCAGGCACTTATTAGGATCTATGAGACTCCAAACCACTGAACTGAACAAGTATATTTATTCCTCTAGCATTTGCTTGAATTGCTTTTTCCAAGAAAACCCTCCATAATGAATTTTACCATATTCATTGTATTCAACTTTAAGGTGTATGTCAAATGTTTAAAAATAAAGTTATATTAGTCATTATTAAGGTATGCGTTCTTAATGTATCCATCTATACAAATTTAAATATATAGTAATGAAACCTATAGTGATACAGCAGTAACACTTGGCTCTTGCAGTAACTTGGCACTGCTACAAATGCTCATTCATTTATTCCACAAATATTTACTTAGTTTTCATTAGATGATAGGTTATTGAGAGACATTATTAAATAAACAGATTTATTTATTTAATAATGCCTTGGTAAAACCTGAGATCTGGAATATTGAACATTGATTCCTTTTGTTTAACAAATCTACTCATGAGCCAGATAGCTGAATAGAACCCTCCAATGTTCGCTCTCTTACAGGAACACCAGTTTAAATAACTATGCACATAAGAGGGTTTCATAAGAACCAGAATATGAGGTGAGTAATCACAGTACCTGGTTTGAACATAATATAAAGGAAAGAGGCACTGAAGAAGGTAGGACAGACAGTCTTGCATTGCCTATACCACCCGTTCCCCGTCCCCAGGCAGCATATGGAGAAAGAATCTGTGTGCTTGGCAGAGAGAGTGAAGCAAGGTACGACTTTGCATTGAAACTCAGTGCTGTCTTGTCACAGCAAAACACAACACAGAGCATAATTCTGCTGGCGTCTACAGAGGCAGCATTTAGACCAGCCTGGGCCAGAGGAGATGTCTTCATTTCAGCAGGAGGAACTTGAGTTCCAGCCAGCTTCACCACTGCCTGATGAAAGTGACCTGGAACCCAGAATAAATTTGAGTGGCAGTCAGGCTACAAAGGACTGCAGCCCTTGAGCAAGCCCCGGTGCTGCACTAATTTCAGAGGCAGTGGACTTAGGGTATAATTCAAAGGAGCTGTGTTGGCCAAGGGAGTGCCTGCATCACTCCTTTCCCAATTCAGGAAGTGCATCCCTGGAAGAGACTCCTTCTGCACTGGGGAAGAAGCAGAAAAATTTGTGGTCTTTTTTCCTAGATGAAATTTCTAGACCCATCCTGGGCCAGAAGAGAATTCACTGCCCTGGTGGTATGGACCCGGTCTCATCAGAATTCACTACTTGCTGATGAAAGTGTGGTCTTCAGTTTTGAACAAACAGGAGAAGCAACCAGCAAGTCATTGCTGCAGGCCTTGTGTGAGCCCCAGTACTATGCTAGTCTGCGGGGCTTCAAGTGTGACCTTGTGCAATGCCAGCTATGGTGGCACCAGGAGTGCTTGTGTCACCCTTGCTCCAATTCCAGGTAGCTCAGAGCAAAGAGAGACTCTTTCTGATTGAGAAAAAGAGAGGAAAGAGAGTAAAAGACTTTGCCTGGTAACCCAGGAAATTCTCTCTTAGGACACAACACTTAATCCCCTTTGAATTCATAGAAAGCCCTCTCAAGCAGGATGAGTATAAATAAGCCCAGATTGTGAAGATTGGAACAAATACCTAACTCATCAATGCCAAGACATTAACAAATGTTTCCAGGCACCAAGAACATCCAGGAAAACATGAGCTCACCAAATGGACTAAGTAAGGCACGACTGACCAATCCTGGGGTGATAGAAACATGACCTTTCAGACAGGGAATTCAAAACAGCTATCTTGAGGAAGCTCAATAAACTTCAGGATAACACAGAAGGAATTCAGAATTCCATCAGAGAAACTTAACAAAGAAATAGAAATAAAAACAAAAGATCAAGCAGAAATTCCTGAGTTAAAAATTTTAATTGACAAACTGAAAAGTGTATGGGTTTCTCAACATCAGAGTTGATCAAGCAGAGGAAAAAAGCCATGAGCTTGAAGATAGCTATATAAAAATACACAGTCAGAAGAGAAAATTTTAATGAAGCACACTGACCAATTCTCAAAAGGCCAAACTAAAAGTTATTGGCCCTAAAGAGAACAGAGAAAGATCAGAGTAGAACAAGAAGGTTAAAGAACACCAGAATGATTCAACCCAAATAAGTCTACCTCAAGGTCAAAGATGAGGAAAATATTCTAAAAACAAAGAGAGGAAGGAAGAAAATAGCATATAAACGAACTTTGATATGTAAGGCAACAGATTTCTCAGCAGCAACCTTAAGGCCAGGATTGAGTGGGATGACATATGCAAAGTGCTCAAGGAAAAAACACTTCCGACCTGTAGTATTACATCCAGGAAAATCATCTTTCTTTCTTTTTTTTTGAGACGGAGTTTCGCTCTTGTTACCCAGGCTGGAGTGCAATGGCACGATCTCGGCTCACCGCAACCTCCGCCTCCTGGGTTCAGGCAATTCTCCTGCCTCAGCCTCCTGAGTAGCTGGGATTACAGGCACGTGGCACCATGTCCAGCTAATTTTTTGTATTTTTAGTAGAGACAGGGTTTCACCATGTTGGCCAGGATGGTCTCGATCTCTTGACCTCGTGATCCACCCGCCTCGGCCTGCCAAACTGCTGGGATTACAGGCATAAGCCACTGCGCCCAGCCAGAAAAATCATCTTTCAAACATGAAGAGGAAATAAAGACTTTCACAGACAAAAGTTGAGGGCTTTTGTCAACACTAGAACTGACTTACAAGAAATGTTTAAGAGAATTCTTCAACTCGAAAGAAAATGACATTAATGGCACCTGGTGTTGGTGGCTCATGCCTGTAATCCTAGCACTTTGGGAGGCCAAGGTGGGCAGATCACTTGAGCTCAGGAGTTTGAGACCAAACTGGGAAACATGGCAAAACCCCTTCTCTACAAAAAATACAAAAATTAGCCAAGTATGGTGGTATGTGCCTGTAATCCCAGCTTCTTGGGACGTTGCAGTGGAAGGATTGCTTGAGCCCAGGAGATGGAGGTTGCAGTGATCCAAGATCATGCCACTGCACTCCAGCCTTGGAAACAGAGTGAGACACTGCCTCAAGAAAAAAAAAAAAGACATTAACGAGCAACAAGAAATCATCTGAAGGTGTAAAAGGGTAATAGTATGCATGCAGACAAATACAGAACACTCTAACACTATAATTGCAGTGTGGAAACCATATATTTAGTGGGATGACAGGCCTATGAAAAATAAGAACAACAAAAACTTTTTAAAAGATAGACAGTATAAAAATATATAAATGGAAACAATAAAATGTTAAAAAGTTGGCCAGCCAGGTGCAGTGGGTCACACCTGTAATCCCAGCACTTTGAGAGGTGGAGGTGGGTGGATCACCTGAGGTCTGGAGTTTCCAGCCTGGCCAGCAGAGTGAAATCCTGTCTCTACTAAAAATGCAAAAATTAGCCAGGCATGGTGGTGACCACCTATAATCCCAGCTACTCAGGAGGCCGAGGCAGGAGAATCACTTGAACACAGGAGGCAGAGTTTGCAGTGAGCTAAGATTACAACACTGCACTCCACCCTGGGTGACAGAGTAAGACTCTGTCTCAAAAAAAAAAAAAAAAAGCTGAAAAGCTGGAGGGGAAATGTAGTTGAAGTGCAGAGATTTTTGGTTTTTTCATTACTCTGTTTTCCTTTTCTTTATAATCAGTGTTAAGCTGTCATCGGTTCAAAATAATTGGTTATAAGATGTTATTTGCAAGCCTCATGGTAACCACAAAACAAAAACCTATAAGAGATACAAAGGAAGATTAAGAAATTAAAACATCTGACCAGAGAAAATTACTTTTACATAAGGAAAGCCAGAAAGTAAGGAAGAAGAAAGGAAGACCAACAAAACAAACAGAAAACAAATAAAATTGTAGTGGTAATCTTCACTTGTCAATAATAACATTTAATATAAATGCACTAAATTATCCAGTCAAAAGATATGGAGATGTTGAATGAATAGAAACCAAGACCCAACCATATGCTGCCTACAAGAAACTCACTCTACCTATAAAGACACACGAACACTAAACATAAAGGGATGGAAAAAGACAGTCCATGCCAAGTGCAAACCAAAAAGGAGAAGTTACTACATTTATGTCACATAGAATATATTTCAAGACAAAAACTGTAAAAAGATAAAAAGAAAGTCATTATATAATGATAAAGAAGTCAATTCAGGAAGTAAATATGTATGTAACCCATACTGAAGCATCAAGATATATAAAGCTATTATTACTAGAGCTAAAGAGAGACATACTTCCCAAGTCTCCAGATGAGAGCCCCTCAGCAGATAAAAGGGCAGCTCTTCCACACTGAAGCAGAAAGATTCTAAGAGGGCTGTTTCACAATGAAAAGAAATGGTATTTGGCCAGAGGAGGTTTCCTCTTCCTGTGGAGAATTTAAAGAAAAGTATAATACAGAACAGGCATAATTTAGCAAGCAAAAGAGAGTAACATGAAACAGGCCAGTTGTGATGGCTTATGCCTGTAATCCCAGCACTTTAGGGGGCTGAGACCAGTGGACTGATTAAGTTCAGGAGTTCAAGACCATCCTGGGCAACATAGAAAAACCTCATCTCTGAAAAAAATGCAAAAATTAGCCAGGCATTTGGTGCATGCCTGTGGTCCCAGCTACTTGGGAGGCTGAGGTGGGTGGACTTCTTAAGCCTGGGAGATTGAGGCTACAGTGAGTTCTGATCATGCCATTGCACTCCAGCCTGGGCAATACAGTGAGACCCACTCTCAAAAAAACAAACAAAAAAGAAAAAAAACCCTCCACACTTTATTCATTAGATAAAAACAAAATGACATGCAGACAAAAGAAACACACACAGTATTGCCACTTGTGAGTAATATTTATTTCATAATGATAGAAACTGTAAATATTGACTGAATATTTATTATTTTGAGAAAATGGGGAGATGGTAGAAAATTAGATCTCATCTATCAATATATACACCTACTATGTACTCACAAAAATTAATTATTTTAAAGTTAAAGCACAAAAAACCTTATCTATCATTATAAGAATGTATAGATATCTAAAATTTAAAAATGAAATAACATTATGAGAATATTATTTTAAAGATGAGGTAAATTCCAAAAAAAAGCAAAAAGGCTTTAAAGTGAGGGTTAAAAATTGACAGGAAAGAGAATCTTTGTTTTGCCTTATAACTCCAATAGGAAATTTTGACTTTAAAGAACATGAAGATGTTTTACTTTGATACAAAATAGTAAAAATATTTTCCCATAAATAATGGAAGAAAGCTTTAAAACAGATCTTTTCTAGTTGTAATAAAGGAAGTCTAAAAGCGAAAATGACTATTTAATGAAGATTTGTTTCCACAATCTGGTTTTCTGTTTGTTTCCATGGTATTTTAGCAAATATTTTTGTACAGTCTGAAATGGGCCTACTAAAACCCACTACAAAAACTAGATTCTTTGAAACATTAGAAGGATTTCTGAAAAGATAATATAAGCATCTTAAGAGAAAAATTTACTGAGAGAAAAGCTTAAAAATTTAACAATCTGTATGGTAAGGTTTCAGTCACCTCATGAATTTCCCTCTTTAAAAAACAAAATTATAACCTCTCAAAGAAAAATATACTTTAAAATCAGTGACAATCTTTATTCTTCTATAGTTTGTTAATAATTTGAAAATAATTCTATGACTTCTTTTTTTTTTTTTTTTTGCCAATCAGTTTGAGCTTATGAGGTTGCTCAGGTTAGCCTTGAACTGATGGCCTCGCCTTCGCGAGCGCCATGACCTCCGGTGGAAGCCACTTTGTACCCCAATTCTATGACTTCTATGAGCCCTCTGTAATATATCATTTTTCTGGGGAAAGCGATTTATGAAAATTTAGGTATATTTTTAGAATATAATGATAACTTCTAATCTTTAAAATACAATATGAAATTATGACTTTATGATTGACCTTATGTTCATATTCAAAAATAAAGTTGTGTTTTAAAAAGGGATTGAATCTAGGTGTGTGTGATAAATATTTACATAAATAAGTAAAATAATTTCTAAAGTTGCTCTTTCAACTTTAATGAAATAGAAGAGCCCTTAGTAAGCCTACCAGGAGTGTGGTAGCATGCAAGTAAGGACTATGCCTATAAGAAGATTTTGCTTTGAATCCATTTATGTATGCTCCTTCCTCCCTGCCTTCCCCCCTGTTTTCTTCCTTCCTTCCTTTTATTCTCATGCAAAATCAAATGGCAACTCTCTAGAAAGGTACATTTAATAACAGGTTCCAGTAAACAGCAGCTATATTGATTACCTTAGTTAATCACCTTAATAATGACTGGGTTGATAATCCTGGTTATATCTCTCTTAGAAAAAGCAATTATTAGTACTTGCTTAGGAAAACGCTTATAAGGATATATAGCAGTAAGCCAGGTTTCCCCTACACATGGTCCTACTTAAAAGCTTTGTGTCTTTACAAGAGTAGTTCCCTTCTCTGGAAGAGTTATCTTTCTTTTCTACCTAGCAAATCATAACCATCTTTTAAATTTGGTTTCTCATCAACTCTTCTGATATTATTATACAAGGTTTCTCTTAACAATCCCCATTCCTAAACTCTCTGTATTAGCCAGCCATCTCCCTCGCTCTGTAAACTGTCCACAGAACACCCAATACAGGCTTCTATCAGGCTGTTCTGCAGTGCTCCAGCTGGCTTTCCCATTAAATCAATGTGGACTCATTAAAAGTCACTTCAAAACACTTATACAAGTGGTTTCTGTTGTTGTAATCATACAATTTAACTAATGCTTACCCAAGCCAAGAAAATGTGCGTGGGCAAAAGATATATTCAATGTCTCTCTGAAAGCTAATTTGAATGTTCTTTTGAGAAGACTCCATGAAGACTTAAGTTCAAAAACACACAAAAAGGTGTTCAAAAACACACAAAAAGGTATTCAAAAACTAACTAGGCAGAATAGGTTTGAATGTTTCCAAAACAATAAACAATCTAGAGGGATAGGAAACTCTGATGTTTCACAAGAGAATCGTTTTTTGTTTTTGTTTTTTTGGTAATTGACAAAATGATTGTACATATTTATAGGGCAAAGTGTACTATTTCAATACATGTGTATAATGTATAGTGATCAAATCAGGATAATTAGCAAATCTGTCACCTCTAACATTTATTATTTCTTTGTGTTAGGAACATTCACAATCTTAGTTCTAGTTCAATAGCACTGTGGTGCCTATAGTTAACAAAAAGTTGTGGTCTTTTTTGATTCCCTGCTCTATAAATACATTAAAACTGAAAATCACGGAAGACACATTAAAATGTAGTTTACACAAGAAAGAGACCTGTTTTCCAATCTGTAGGCTTGGACACACAAAAAAAGTTTGGTTCTTTCTCCAAAGATTAAAGAAAAATGAAAAAAAATTAAAATTTGATGTTTTTATTTTTTAAAAAATGCTTAAGGCTTGTATGTCTTCTTTTCTTTGGCTACCCATTTTAGCTAAACTTTTGGATTAGCCAAGTAGCCACGTTAACATAAGATTAAAAAATGGCTTCTATCATAATCACTGTCTCGTATGCAGTACTTTTGCTCACTTACAAATACTATGAATGTTTACGTCACCCAAAAATTCATACAGTGAAACCCACTCCCCAAAATGGTAATGGTAAGAGGTGGGGCCTTTGGGGGATTATTAGTGAAGCGACTACGTTTTCTGGAGCTCATTGTCACCTGCCAGGAAAGTTTAGGACATGGACACATGAGGAGTTTAGGAGTGGCGGTTTAATGGGTAGAAGAGAGGAAAAAGAGAACCAGCTTCCTCTATAGGGGAAAGGGTTTCCCAAAGAAAAGCCTTACCAAGGACTCCTATTCCCTCGCTATCTGCCTGAGTGATTTCTTCTTAAGTCCTATATCATTAGGTCATGAGGAATTTGCCATCAGGTGCAGGATTAGTGCCCTCATAAAAGAGGCTCAAGTGAGTCTGTTCGCTCTTTTCACCATCTGAGGACTCAGCAAGCCGGCACCATCTTCAAAGCAGAGAGTGAGCCCTCAGCAGACACTAAATCTGATAGAAACTTGATCTTGGATTTCCCCATCTCTAGAACTGTAAGAAATAAATTTCTGTGTTTATAAGCCATCCAGTATCTTGTATTTGATTACAGCAGCCCAAATGGACTAAGACAACATGTTAAATACTTGTTCAGTATATTCAATGCATTAGGCACTAGGTTAAGTTCTGAAATGGCACTATGAGAAAGGAAAATGTGCTCCTGTCTTCATGGGGCTTACAATTGTTTATAGTTATATTATCTTTAAACATCTCATTGAATTATAAATATGTTTACATATCTGTTTTCCATGCTCTTTGACAACTCCCTAAAAGGTAGGAAATAAAATTTATTCTTTTTGTACTTTTTTTGCCTTACAAAGTATCTGGTACCTAGTAAAGACTGACTAAAAGTTGGTTAAACTGAATTACTAGAGAAAGGCAAAAGTTTTATTTTATCTGAAAGGCCTAATACCTATGAGTTTATCTAGACCAATATTTTGCCTTATGCTTTGTATAAGGATCTGCTGTAGACCAATGGCTGGAATTGCAGCTTAAGTGCATCAATAACTTTTTAATGAAAACATGACTACATGATTGCACAATTACCTATTAATTGGGGCATCAGTTATCAAGGGAAGTATTTACACATCAAGCACCTACTTTTGGAAATTTTCTCCGTAGTCTGTCCTCAGTATGTCTCTAGCACAAAAGTCCAGCAAGGAAATAACCTCACAGTCATGCAAGTGCTTGAAAGTTAACGAATTTGGTCTGCACAAAAGATGAGTCAGAACAACAATTCATTTCTAGTGAGGGAGGGCCTTTGAGCTGAGATTCTTCAAATGTTGTGTTCCTCCCCACACTTAACACTTTAATCCTATAATAACAGCCTGGAATATACATAAGAATTCCTCAGAACAGCTTGTACTTTTACCAAGTTTTATTCAGCTAAAAAATCTCTTTATTCCTACCCAGCAGAAAAATAAATGGATAATCACATATAAAACCTTAATCAATATTATTGATAATTTTACCTCAAATGTCTACATTATCCTCTCTGACTCTACAATAAAATCTGGTTTTGTTTCCAGCATTCATTGCTTAATAAAATAATCTACATGTTTTCAAGTATATTTGCTCAGTCATGCAGTCTTAACATCAGTTTTTGATGTTTCTTTGCTACCCATGGATGTCAAGATTTCTTTAACAGATGGTAGAGTTTCACACTTCCAGTTTCTCAGTATAACTGGAGCAGATATCTGGGTAACATGCAGCCATAATTTACTAAAAGTACAGTCACCTTATTGTGTTGTTTTTCTTGAGAAATTTAAAAATATAGACAAGTACAAATAACATAGCAAGTATCCATAAACCTACCACCCATCATTGAAAGCTGTTAACATTTTGACACATTTGATTCAAATCTTTTTTTAGAAAGAAAATACGATAAACATTATGAACAAAATCGAAGTTCCTTTTGCTCTCTATTCCCAGTTTGAATTCTACCCTTCCCTCCCCAAAGGTAGCCTTTGTCATGAATTTAATATATATATTTTTAGTCCATTAAAAATAAATATGTATTTGTTTTGGGGAACATAAGAGTACTAATTTGTATAAATTTTTAATAATGTAAATGATATATATATATTCTGTATCTTTTTTATATTCAGAATTATATATTTTGGGATCTTTCATCCATAAACACGTTTCCTTTTAGTGACTAAATGGTATTCTACCAAATCAGCATTCCACAATTCAGTTATTAATTCACTTAATGGACCATTAGATTGTTCTAATTTTTAATTCATTGTAACATGCTTTAACCATTTGTATTTCTTTGTGCACAAGCCCAAGTTCCTCTAGACTGATGCTGCTTGAGAGGTAGCCCACAAACTGGCTGTTCATCTACAGCGTATTACAGTCCATGGAGAGATAAGGAATCTGTGACCAAATAGCATCAACTGTGTCCCAAAGCACACTTTCAGTTCACCTGACATCTCGTAGCAAGTCTTTCTCAGGGGAGGAAGTTACTCTGGTTTGCATTCTGATGCAAGCTCTTTATCTAATCATGAGTAGGATAGGAATGCTTCAGATCACACACATGGAAGTGGCATTTCTCGGTCATAGGGTATGTAATTTTTTCCCTTTCACTCTGTAATATTAAACTGCCTTCCACAGCGATTGTCTTTATTTACTCATCCAGTCTCTGAATCTTCCAATACTTTCCACAATCTTTCCATTCTTTTTCTGGTATTTGTTTATTATAGTTTTATTAATACATAATTTGCATACCATATAATTCGCCTATTTAAAGTATACAAGTCAATGGTTTTTAATATATTCATATAGTGGTGCAATAATTAATTTAGGACTTTTTTTTTGAGATGGACTCTGATACTGTTGCCCAAGCTGGAGTGCCGTGGCATGATTTCAGCTCACTGCAACCTCCACCTCCCAGCCTCAAGCAGTTCCCCTGCCTCAGCCTCCCAAGTAGCTAGGATTACAGGTGCATGCCACCACGCCCAGCTATTTTTTGTATTTTTAGTGGAGACAAAGTTTCGTCATGTTGGCCAGGCTGGTCTCGAACTCCTGACCTAAGGTGATCTGCCCACCTTGGCCTCCCAAAATGCTGGGATTAGAGGCGTGAGCCACTGTGCCCAGTCCAATTTAGAATATTTTAATCACTACTCCAAAAAAATCCCAAAATTCAACCCTCTCATCCCTTCAGCCCTGGAAAACCACGTATCTACTTTCTGCCTCTATTGATTTTGTCTATTCTGGACATTTCATATACATGGAATCAGATAATATGTAGTCTTTTTGTGACTGACATGTTTCATGTAGCATAATGTTTTCAAGATTCATCCATGTTACAGCATGTATCAGTATTTTAGTGCTTTTTTATGGTCAAATAATACTTTATTGCGTGTGGATACCACATTTTGTTTCTCTGTTCATTAGTTCATGAACATTGGGGTCATTTCTACCTTCTTGGTCATTATGAATAATGCTAATGCTGTTATGAACATTGGTGTGCAAGATTTTGTGTGAATATATGTTTTCATTTCTCTTGGGTATATATCTAGAAATGGAATTGCTGGGTCAAATGATAACTTTGTGTTTAACCTTTTGGAGAAGTGTCAGACTATTTTCCAAAGTGTTTACACCATTTTACATTCCCACAAGGAGTGTGTAAAGGTTCTAACTTCTTTACATCCTGATCAATGCTACTACTTGACATTTTGATCATATACATCCTAATGGTTGTGAAGTAATTTCTCACTGTGGTTTTGATTTATATTTCCCCAGTGACAATAATGTTGAGCACCTTTTCATGTGCTCATTAGACATTTGTATATCTACTTTGGAAAAATAGCTACTCAGATCCTCTGCTTATTTTTTAATTGGGTTGTTTATCTATTTAGTATTGAGTAACCTAAGTTCTTTATATATTCTTTACATGAATCATTTATCAGATGCAGAATTTGTAAATATTTTTCCAATTAATTTTGTCCTATTCATGTTTTTATAATTGTAAAAAAGGTATACTATGTATATGAGATTGATATGAATCTTAAGTGTAAAGTTCAATTAATATATAAAAATTTAACATAAACATTGGTGTGTGTATGTTTATATGTGTGCATGTCTATATACATATCTGTGTGTATGTGTATATACATATAAGAATATGTTTGTATGGATATAAAATATGTGTATATTGCTGGGTTTGATTTTTCTAATACTTGGTTAAGGACTTTGTGTCTATTTAATGAAGAATATTGGTCTGCAGTTTCCTTTTCTCATAAGGTTTTTGTTTTTGGTGCAAGTATGTTGGCCTCATAAAGTGAGTCTTTTTGCTGAAGAATTTGTAAAGGATTGTTTTTTATTTATTTTATTTTATTTGAGACAGAGTTTTGCTGTCACCTATGTTGGAGTGCAGTGGTGTGATCTTGGCTCACTGCAACCTCCACCTCCTGGATTCAAGTGGTTCTCCTGCTTCAGCCTCCTGAGTAGCAGAGATTACAGGCATGCACCACCACGCCCAGCTAATTTTTGTATTTTCAATAGAGACGGGGTTTCACCATGTTGGCCAGGCTGGTCTTGAACTCCTGACCTCAAGTAATCCACCCTCCTCTGCCTCCCAAAGTGCTAGGATTACTGGCGTGAGCCACTGCACCTGGCCTGATTTCTTTTTTAAATGATAGATAGACTTCAACAATGAAATCATCTGGGTTTGATACTTTTTTATGGGAAGGATTTTCATTACAAAGTATTTTTGTATTGGATGCTGGACATAGTGGACTTTGTCTTGTTGAATTCCAAGTTTTGTTACCTTCCTGTAAAGCATATTGAACATTGCTTAAGAAGGTACTTACATTACTTGTGGACCACTTGATAATTTTCAGGCTGATTTTTAAATTTTGTACAGTGGGCTTAAAATAACCTTTACCCTAGGGCTAACTCAGTCCCACCACCAAAGCCAGATGCTACTCTAGGGCTAACTCAGTCCCACCACCGAAGCCAGATGCTACTCTAGGGCTAACTCAGTCCCACCACCGAAGCCAGATGCTACTCTAGGGCTAACTCAGTCCCACCACCGAAGCCAGATGCTACTCTAGGGCTAACTCAGTCCCACCACCGAAGCCAGATGCTACTCTAGGGCTAACTCAGTCCCACCACCGAAGCCAGATGCTACTCTAGGGCTAACTCAGTCCCACCACTGAAGCCAGATGCTACTCTAGGGCTAACTCAGTCCCACCACCGAAGCCAGATGCTACTCTAGGGCTAACTCAGTCCCACCACCGAAGCCAGATGCTACTCTAGGGCTAACTCAGTCCCACCACCGAAGCCAGATGCTACTCTAGGGCTAACTCAGTCCCACCACCGAAGCCAGATGCTACTCTAGGGCTAACTCAGTCCCACCACCGAAGCCAGATGCTACTCTAGGGCTAACTCAGTCCCACCACCGAAGCCAGATGCTACTCTAGGACTAACTCAGTCCCACCACCGAAGCCAACTCAGTCCCACCACCGAAGCCAGATGCTACTCTAGGACTAACTCAGTCCCACCACCGAAGCCAGATGCTACTCTAGGGCTAACTCAGTCCCACCACCTAAGCCAGATGTGCAGTGTCCTGGCTGGATGGAACTTGAAGTTCTCTAGTCCTCTGTGAGCTCCGAGACTTGCTCAGCTGAAAGCTCCTTGATAATGGGCAAATTCATAGAGTTTCCTACATTTAGAAAACTTAATATTCAGTCTAAAAAGGAACTCTATGCATAAGTCTGGAGCCATGCAGCACTATCCTCTCTGTTACTCTACCCGACAAATTGCAGAGGCTTCCTCTTTCCCACACTCTCATCTCTGTTGCCACATCTCAGGGAGACCACCACAGTCTCCTCTGGGCCCCCGTTTAGAAAGTCTAAGAAAAAAAAACTGCGTCTCTCCTCATTCCTTCTCATCTCGGAGATCACAGACCTGAGCTTTCTGCTGTCCAGCATCTGAACATAGCTGCCTCAATCGTTATTCTGGCTTTCTATTTGTTTATGACGAGAAGGTAGTTCACATCCACATTATGCCAGAAGCAGAAGTCTGCACATAAAATCCAAATTGCTATGGATACTTGTCTTCATCCAACTAGCCAAGAGAAACTCCTTCTTTCTTTCCTCGCATCCTCTTTCTGTGATCATTTGGGGCTCTTACTCAGGCCAGGAAACCAGTACTGATTTCTGTCGCCAGAGATAAGAAGGAAAAGAGACATGCTCCATGCCTGGAAGACTCTGGCTCTGCCCCAGGTTGCCTGCTGTTCTGGGGATTGCCTTATCATGCCACCCATCATAACAGGCATCAGCCAGGCATGGTGGTTCACACTTGTAATCCTAGCACTTTGGGATGCCAAGGTGGGCAGATTACCTGAGGTCAGGAGTTTGAGACCAGCCTGGTCAACATGGTAACACCACGTTTCTACTGAAAAAAAAAATACAAAAAATTAGCTGGTGCGTGCCTGTAATCCCAGCTACTCTGCAGGCTGAGGCAGGAGAATCACTTGAACCTGGGAGGCAGAGGTTGCAGTGAGCCAAGACGGCACCACTGCAATCCAGCTGCCTGGGCAACAGAGAGAGTTTCTGTCTCAAAAACAAAAAGCAGGAGTCAGCATCAGGGGAGTATCTCACACCTGGGATGGAGTTCTTCATTTTGTTTTTAACCACCTCTGTCTCTGTACTACAAAATTATCGTTAGTAATAATCATGAAGTAAAATGAATATATTTCATATTTGAACTAAAACATTCATTTAAATAAAAATATAACCCTTTTAGTGAGCTCTTTGTTCCACAGATTTAAAAGAAATTATATAGATTTAGGGAGTGCAACTGCAGTTTTGTTACATGGATATATTGCATCATAATGAATTCTCTGCTTTGAGTGTAACTGTCGCCCAAAGAACACACATTGTATGCATTAGGTCATTTCTCATCCCTCACCTGCCCCCACTCACCTATCGTTCTGAATCTCCAAAGTCTACTTTTCTACCCTCTATGTCCATGTGTACACATTATTTAGCTCCCACCTGTAAGTGAGAACATGCCATATTTGACCTTCCATTTCTGACTTATTTCACTTAAGGTAATGGCCTCCAGTTCCATCAATGTTGCTACAGAAGACATAATTTTATTCTTTTCTAGGAATGAGTAATATGCCACTGTATGTGTGTGTGTGTATATATATATATGTGTGTGTGTGTGTGTGTGTATGTATATATAAACATAATATTTACTTTATCCAATTATTCATTGATGGGAACTTTGATTCCATATCTTTGCTATTGTGAATACTGCATTAGTAAACATATGAGTACAAGTATCTTTTTACTATAATAATTTCTGTTCCTTTGGGTAGATACCCAGGAGTAGGATTACTGAATTGAATAGCAATTCTAATTTTAGTTCTTTGAGAAATCTCCATACTGTTTTCCACAGAGGCTTTATATTTACCTTTACTAATTTACATTTCCACCAATAGTACATAAGCATTCCCTTTTCTCCCCATCCTTGCCAGCATCTGTTATTTTTTGACTTTTTTGTAGTATCCAGTCTGAACGGTGTAAGATGGTATCTTGTCATGGTTATGATTTGCATTTCTCTGATTATTAGTGATGTTGAACATTTTTAAATTTTTTTCATTTGATCATTTATACGTCTTTGCAAAATGCCTGTTCCTATCTTTTGTGTACTCTTTAACGGGTTTTGTTCTTTTTGTTGTTGTTGAGCTGTTTGAGTTTCTTTCAGGTTCTGGATATTTGTCCTTTGTCAGAGGTATAGTTTGCAAGTATTTTCCCCCATTCTGTGGGTTGTCTGTTCACTGTTATTTCTTTTGCTGTGCAGAAGCTTTTTAGTTGAGTTAAATTTGTCTATTTTTGTTTTGTTGCATTTGCCTTTGCACTGTTGGTCATGAATTCTTTGCATAGACCGTTGTCTACAATTGTTTTTCCTAGGATTCCTTTTACAATTTTTATAATTTCAGGTCTTACAATTCAGTTTTTAATCAATCTTGAGTCAATTTTCGTATAGAGTGAGAGGTAGGGGTCTAGTTTTATTCTTCTACATATGGCCATCCAAATTTAAATCCAAATAAAAAGTCCCAGAAATCACATAGATTGATAGAATTTGAATAATGTAAGTTTTCTTTGTCATTATAATCATCGTACTATCATTATTTGTTGTTAACTTACAGCTTCAACACAAAATGTGCGGTGCCACTGAGGCTGATGACACAAAAACTTCCTGAAGGAGACTCAGACTTTTCCAACCAGTACAGCATTACTCTTGAAAAGAATCCCATGGGGCAGGCAGATCACATGAGGTCAGGAGTTCGAGACCAGTGTGGGCAACATGGCAAAACCCCATCTCTACTGAAAATGCAAAAATTAGCCGGGCGTTGTGGTGCATGCCTATAATCCCAGCTTTGGGAGGCTCAGGCAGGAGAGTCTCTTGAACCCAGGAGGTGAAGGTTGCAGTGAGCTGAGATCACACCATTGCACTCCAGCCTGGACAACAAGAGCAAAGCTCTATCTCAAAAAATAAAAATAATAATAATAAAAGAATCCCACGTAGCTAATTCCGCAGATGTTGAGGGCTGACTGTATAATGAGAGATCTCTGAATTGACTTCATTTAAAGCACAGTGTTTATTAAACAACAGGCAATGAAATTGTGGTTACCAGGGGCTAGGGAAATGGGGAAATGTTGGTCAAATTGTATGAAGTTTTAGTTGAACTAAAGGTATGAGTTCTGGAGATGTGTTATGTAGCATGGCAACTATAATTAGTAAAATGTATAGTATAATTGAAAATTGCTAAGAGTGGATTTTAAATATTTTCATCACAAAAATGATAAGTATGTGAAGTGATGGATATGTTCATTAGCTTAATTCAAACATTCTGTATGCTTGATACATATATCAAATCATCACATTGTACACCATAAATATATACACTTTGTCATCTGTGAATTCACATAAACAAATACAATTTTTGAAATGTTGTTAAAAAATGTAAAGCCGGAAGGAATGGATTTTTTTCACAAAGGAGCATTTTATCACTGACATTGAAACTGCAGACTCATGATGATAATATAAAGCACACTAATGTTTAGCTGTCTTTATTATGGTTTCCAAACTGTCTACAGGCAATGCACTCCTTATTACCTGTACTCTGGGTGATTTCTTCCACCTCCTACCTTTGTTATGCCATTTTAGCAACCTGTGGCAGTAGCCGCTCTTGAAGAAGGCTAGTGATAGCTAAGACACCACAATTTGAACCCAAGTAGTCTGATTTAGTTTCTGCCCATTGCTGGGACCGATTTGGCACCTCTGGGCCTCCATTTTTCTCAGTCTAGTAGAGGTTATTTAAGGTGTCAGAGACGGGGGAGGAGAATATCTCCATGACTTCCATGCACAAGTAGGCGAGGTTCTCAATGTCCACACAGCTTCCTTTTTAAACCCACACCCACACCCACGTGACTGGATTAGAAAGGGTGTGGCCAGGTGAAAATATTTTACTTATCATTGTTGCATCTATATTCAAAGAGATTGATTTATCTTTTTTTGGGTAGTTACTTGTCTTGGTTTGGTATTAATGATACGTTGTAGAACAAGTTGGAAATTTTCTAGCCCTCTGTTCTTTCAAACAACATAAATATAGAAACCTAGCTCCTGGAAGTTTTTATAGATCTCACCAATAAAATTCTCTGGACTGGAACCTTTGGGTGGGGTAATATTTGACTTAATTCTTTTTAATTAAATAAAATTAAATATAGCTTCTGTAAAAATTGCACGACACTTACAAAGAATTTAATTAACACAGAAAAGGCAAAGATGAGGAAAATGAAAGTGAACTATTCAAATCCCATCACATATGAATAATCTTTAACGTTCAGACCTTTATAAAAACCAATTCATATATTTTTGAATAAAAAGATTAAATGTAACGTATCAAAATTTAATAGAAGAAAAATAAAGTGAAGTAAAACCAGTGAGATCACTTAATCCTCACATAAATGTTTCTTCACTCCATGAGATGTTTCCCAACAAACGGTTCTTCTAGAGAATTCTAGATTCTTCTGTGTTTCAGAAACACAATAATTGAGTTTTCACACTCACCTGTGAGATGTACCTCCCTCAAACTTTGTTAAGACGTCAGCACATTACCCATCTGACATGCAGATACCAGGGAAGATACCAATAAAACACTCAGTGTAGAATCATTACATCTCATTAAAAATGCAATATGATTTTAGGTACTATCAGCTGCTTACTTGCAGGGATAGATAAACGCATTAGCAATTTCATTCTTCTTCCTATTTCCGGTATTGTATTCTGTAGCCACAATTCCCAAAGTTATTTAGAATTCATTTTGTATATAGATCAGTTCAATGCTCACCACCAGTGCAGGGTCTTCATTTCTAAGTTCTTTATTTTATTTCCTATCTAGGTTTTTGTCATCAGGCAATTTGCTGATAAGGGATCACACTGTATTTCATGGGGAAGCCTGAAAGTTTCCTAAATACTTGAAAGCAGGGCTGGCTTGGTTAGTTTGCAACCCGTGCAGTAACACAGAATCTTGCACTGAGCCAAGAAGTACCCCTTGCTTGGGCTAATTCATGGTCTGCTGTCAGCATTTTAAAATTGTTAATATATGTTGCATCTAGGGGTACCTCGTTTCGTTTTGCTTTGGGCCCCACAAACCATGTAGCTGGTTTTGATGGAAAGACATTTGTTTTGACATGGTAGTTCTCAGTCCCTCTCTCCTTCAGAACGTAGTAGCAAATGCCTTCTAATAATTGACAGCACCATAGAGAAGTTGGAGGTCTGCCTAATGGCTTTCTCTATTTCGGCTATTTGATATTGCAGCTTGGATGCCTGAAGAGATCCTTTTTCATCTTTGAAGTGCAACCACTAAACCAGAATATGTCTCTGTGTTAAGCCTCCTACATTGCAGTGTTTGGGGACCACAGTGTGCCCCTGCTTCAATCTGCAGATTTGTTTCAGGGAATTATTCTTGTGTAATATATTTAGGTATTTTTTCCGACAGTTGAGAGGCCGACCCACACCTCCATATGTTCTTGATTAAGCTGCTCTCCCCTTGGACCTCAAACTTCTATCCACAACAGCCAAGGGGAGGCTCAAACCCTCTCCCTCCAGGAGCAAGGAGAGAAGTCTCTTGAAAAAGCAAAATGAAACCCTGACCCCAAATCCCTCTCCAACTAATTTATGGTAAAATTCCTTGAAAAAGCTGTCTATTATTACTGATCCCAGCTTTGGAGCGGTGGTGGATTCCTGCTGCTGCTAATCTCTTGGCACAACAAAACCCATCTGTCATTGCAACTCTTCTCTCACACGTGGAACCAATTTCTTGCACTCTATCCCCCAACCCTGTTTTAAATAATTAAAGCGGCGTTCCTTTCTTTGGGTGATTCCTAACTGATGGACACGTAGAAAACTATTTAGTAGCAGCCATTAGATTGTGTTTTTATTTGTAGTGTTTAAATACTGTATATCTTTTCTGGTTTTTTTTTTTACTGTCTAGTCTATCAGTTGCTTGAGAGCTGAAGTTCCCCATCGTATTGACAGCTTTGCCAACTTTTCCTTATAGATCTATAATTTAAAAACTATTTTACTATGGTTCATTAGTATATGCTATTCAAGGTATATAAGATTAAAATAGTTTATGTTTCAAGTTGGAACTCAAAGTCAATTTCTGCTCAAAAAAATTGCATGAGCCCTTCCAAGCTTAAGTGGCCCGAAGACTCCAGTGGGGAAAAGTGTGGTTTTAGTTTGCATATTTCTTTTCTGTCTGTAATATTTTTCTTTCTCTGGTTTCTACGCCCTTCTGATCCAGTCTGCTTTTTCTTCCAAACATTATTCAAAGTTTCTAGTTCTCCACTTTTGCACTTTTCCCCAGCAAGGTGATGGATGTTTTCTTTCTCATACTGTGTGTGTGTGTGTGTGTGTGTGTGTGTGTGTGTGTGTATTTGACACACATACAGATATTTCCACTTCAGTGGAATTAATAAAACAACTTTATAGGCTTTTCCTTTCTGGGACTGTTTTTATGGTTTTGAAATCATCAGTTTAAAAGCATTTACTGCTAAAATAATCAGAGCTTAACTTTGAAGAAGTATTTATTCTATAACATTTTTAATTTTTTAATAGTTATTTTTACAAGATTTCTATTCTTTCTTTCAAGTCATTTTTTATCTGTTCTATAAAAGTGAACTTTTATCAAGACTTTCAAATCTACTAGCGTTATTTTATTCTAATTCTTATTTAATTTTAAAATGTAAAACTCCTTAGTTTAATTTCTCTATGTATTCTTCTGCATAGCTGAAGTTGGTAGCTTATTAACTTCATTGCCTCTTTTATTGTTTCATAAATAAGTAATTTTAAATAAAATATATTTTAAAATATAAGATACATAAAGAAAGAGTTAACACCCCTCTCTCATTCTACCCTGTATTTCCCTGAGATAATTCTTTTTATTATGATTATACTTTAAGTTCTGGGGTAGATGTGCAGAACATGCAGATTTGTTACATAGGAATACACATATAGCAGCCATAGTGTTTTGCTGCTTCCATCACCCCATCATCTACATTAGGTATTTCTCCTAATGCTATCCCTCCCCTACCCCCCGACATTTTGCTATCCCTCCCCTAGCCCTCCACCCCACAAAAGGCCCTGGTGTGTGATGTTCCCCTCCTTGTGTCCACTTGTTCTCATTACTCAACACCCACTTATGAGTGAGAATATGTGGTGTTTGGTTGTCTGTTCTTGTGTCAGTTTGCTGAGAATTATGGTTTCTAGCTTTATCCCTGCAAAGGACATGAACTCATTCTTTTTTATGGCTGCATAGTATTCCATGGCCACATTTTCTTTATCTAGTCTATCACTAATGGACATTTGTGTTGGTTCCACCCTGAGATAATTCTAACAGCTCAGTGTTACTGCATTTCTGTCCTCTTCTGCAAGCTTATGTGAACACAAACGCACACACACAGGTTTTTGTTGTTTGCCTTTTGTACACTATACACATTATCCTTTACCTTTCAGTTTTCAATCTAAAGGTATATTGGGCATCCCTTCAAGTTAGGATGCATAAATGTTCTTTATTCTTTTTGATAGCTGCATAGTATTCTATTGTGTAGACATATCCTAAAACATTCAATCTTTCTACGATTGAGGAACATTAGAATTTCCATTTTTTTTAAACTGATGGAAATTATGTTAAGTGAAATAAACCAGGAGCAGAAAGTTAAACACCACATGTTCTCACTCATATGTGGAAGCAAAAAAGGTTGATCTCATAGAAGTAAAAAGTGGAACAGAGGATATGAGAGGCTGAAATGGATCAGAGGAAGGGAGGGACAGGGGAGATTAGTTAAAGGATAAAATATTACAGCTAGGTAGAAGGAATAGTTCTAGCATTCTATAGCACTGCAGGGTGACAATTTTAACAATATTATATTAATCGTTTCAAATAACTAGAAGGAGTATATTGAATGTTCCTAACACAAAAAAGATAAATGTTTGAGATATAGATATGTTAATTACCATGATCTAATCAGTATCCATTACAAGTATCAAAGCATTACTATGTATCTCACAAACATAAACAATTATTATTTGTCAATTAAAAAAATAAAATTAAAAAAAGTTCGCCTTTGAATACTACAAACAATTCTGCAATAAAGTTTTTTTCTATATGATTTTAAATCTGTATCATAGATTCTCTCTAGAATATTCCTAGGAGTGTCCATTTTTCACTTTAATATTTATCACCAGATTACTTTGGTAGCAATTTAAACTTTCTCCAGCAGTGTAAAATAATGAACATTTCCTCACATCTCCTTCAGCAGTGAACAGTATCAGTAATTTTTAATTGTTATTAATCTTCTAAGTGGAATGGTTACCTATGTATTTTAATATGCATTTATGTAGACACTAACGATATTGACCTGTTACAATATATTTGTAGGACCCACCACATTTCTGTCTTTATCAATGGCCTGGTTGCATCCATTCATTCCTTTTGTTTATATGTTGTAGGCACCCTTGATCTGGCAGATTAAACCACCATGTGATGTTCATTTACTCATCTGATTTACAGCCATTGAATGCCTACTACTTACCAGGTACTTATGAAAGTAGGAAGTGCGGTGGTAAACAAAGTACAGTAAATGTTCTCATGAAGCCTACGTTCTATGGGAGAGGCCAGAAACAAGTAATCTGAAGTCATATGATTTCAGGTAATGTCGAGTAGTGTGGGGAAGCATCATGAGAGACAGAAAATGACAGGGGTGAAGGGTTTCAAATATGGTTTGAGTAAACCTTAAAACATTTGAGAAAGTTTCTAAATGACATGGAGAAAAAGTCATGGTAAAACCTGAGGACAGCGTATTCCAGGCAAAGGAAGTAAACGTGCTAAGAGACAAACTTGACATGTTTGAAGAACAGCAAGACAGTCCATGTAGCTGGGATGCAGTGTTGAAAGTGAGCTTGAAAGTGCTGGGAGCTTGGGGAAAGCCAGGCCACTTAGGGCCTTAGAGGCGTGGGGAAGAGATTACATTTTATTTTAAGTGAGACGGGATTATACTGGAGGCTTACAACTAGAAGAAAACCATGGTCTAATTTATGTTTTCTTTTGTTTTATCATATTGGTCATTTATGGAGAATATAATGGAGGAAGTCAAGCGTGTGATGGGAAATGTAGTTACAAGGCCATTGTAGTAATCTAGGAGCAAGATTATGGCAGTTCAATGAAGAGAACATTGTAAGGAACAAGGACAAGTGGGTGTCTAGAAAATGTATTTTGAAAATAATGCAAAGCAGCTTTTTCAGTGGCTAGATGTAGAATGTGAGGTTTCAGCAGGAATTAAGGGTGATTCTTAGGTTTTTGGCTTAAACAAAAGCTTGATGCTATTAATTTTTATTTCTTTGTCTTAGTCCATTTGTGTTGCTATCAGAGAAAATATGAGACTGGGTAATTTATAAAGAACACGTTTATTTGGCTCATGGTTCTGCAGGCTGTACAACCATGGCCCCAGCATCTGCTTCTGGTGAGGCCTCAGAAAGCTTCTACTCATGGTGGAAAAGGAGGAGGAGTCTGTATGCAGAGATCACATGGTGAGAGACAGGCAGAGGAGGTGCCAGGTTCTTTTCAATAACCAGTTCCAATGGAAACTAAGAGCGAGGGCTCAGTCATTTTGACAAGGACGGCACCAAACTATTATGTAGGATCTGCCCCCAAGATCCAAATGCCTTCACCAGGTCCCACCTCCAACACCAGAGATCACTGTCAGTATGAGACTTGGTGGAGCCAAATAAACCATACCAAACCATAACATTAGCAAAAAGAGTATTGCTAGAGTGGGGATGGGGAAAGGTTTTAAGAATGAAAATGGAAAGTCCTTGATTGGACATGTTGAGATGGAGAAGCCTTTTAGACAGCCACAGGGAGATGCTGGTTGGTGTTGGAAAGATAAGTCTGACTGTCAGGGGAGCAGTTCAGGTGGAGATGTCAAATTGTGAATCTTCAGAGTGTAAGTGTCATCTGGTGCCATGGGATCCCATGAAATCACCAAGGGGGCATTCAGAAATATAAGGAGCTAAGAAATGAACTCTGGGGTACTCCAAGATTTAGAATAAGAGAGAGGAGTAAATTGGGCTGAAAAGCAGCAATCAGTGAGTGACGTAGAAAAGAAAGCAGGAGAGTGTAGCATTGTAGATGAAATTCAAATACTTGGAGATATTTCAAGGATGACGGTGCAGTCAACCCTGTTAAATGCAGTATCTGTTTAAAATATATTTTCTAGTCCATTGTTCATCTTCTGACTCTCTTTAGGATTTATTTTGTAATAATAAGATATTTTTAATATTCAAATTTTTTACTTTATGGATTTTGAGTTTCCTAATCTGTGTAAGAAGTTCTTCTCTAGCCAAGGACATGTAAATACCTAATTTCTTCAAATATTTTTATTGATTTTATTTTTACATGAAGATATTATATCATCATAGACATTTTTTGTAGATGGTGTGAAATCGGGGTCTGGTTTCATTTCTTTTAGGTAGAGAGCCAATTATGCTAGCACCAGCATTACTGTGTCTTTTCCCATGAAACTGAAATATGTCCTTTGTCATCTGTCAAATTTATACATTTTCTGGATGTATTTCTGGATATTCTATTCCACTAAATAGTTTGCCCTATTTATGAGGACTCCAGAGTAACAATTATTATTAGCCCATCTTGGTTAGGAGTCCATTCCTGGTCTAATCAACTCCGGCCAGGAAAAGTAGCATGGTATGGCTTCACATCTCTCGGTGTAGATGCAAATGATCTGAGAAAAATGCGAGCAGAGCAGACAGATTGATCAGCGTTTTCGCATACTTCAGCAAAAATTTTCCTCCGTAAGTTTGAAAGAATGTAAGGGCCACTATAGTTATAAAAATCTCTCTAAGTATCATTACAGATACAATGTTTCAATTCATTTAATCATACAATTCTAATCTCTAGTAACAATCAGCGAAAACCAGAAAATATTCATATATGTCAAACAATTCTTTAGTTTTTGTACCTTTTCAATCCACTTAGGATTCTGAAATTTATTTTCAATCAGCAGAAAAAAAATAGTACATAGGATTTTGTAGTTTTAAACAGAAGTGCCTTTTGAGATTACATTTCTTCTTTTTGTTTTGTTTTGTTTTTTTAGAGGGAATTTTGTCCTTGCCTAGGCTACAGTGCAATGACTCCGGGATTACAAGTGTGAGTCATTGCACCCGGCCCTTACAGTTCTTTTAATTCCTGTTGTGTTGCTCTGTAGCTGATTCATGTCACCCTTGGAAAGCTAGTTTCATGCCCCAGAGGAAATCCACCATGACCACTACCAGTAAACCACAGGCAATTCTCTACCTTTCTTTAAGATGGATGGAAATAAATAATAAAATGATATAAGGTAAACTTGTAGTCCCAAATCTAAATGGCGCTAAAACTAGCCTGAGTCACACACATAACTGAGCCATAGTGGTGTTAAAATCATCACAGATCCATGTCAATTCAGGGTAGCACAGACATAAAGCATAGTTGACTTTCACTTTTCATAGATTCCATATTTGCTAATTTAATTACTTGCTAAAATGTATTCATGACCCCAAAATCAATACTCACAGCTCTTTTCCGGTCATCTGCAGATGTGCATATAGGGGCAAAAATCTCAGTCTCTCACTGCTCATGTGCCAGATGAGGTGGAAGGAGGCAACCCTATCTTCTAGCTTCAACTCAGACAGCCAACGGGTGTCCTTGCACAGCCTGTGCTGTGACTTCTTTTTTTTCATTTTTGTGCTTTCTGTTGGTGAGTCTACCTTTAAAATGGCCCTCAAAACAAATTATGGAAGTGCTGAGTGCAGGAAGGCTGTGATCTGCCTTCCAGAGAAAATACACGTGTTAGATATGACATGAGTTATACTGCTGTTGGGTGCAAGTTTAACATTAATGAATTAATATATATATTAAATGGGTGCCTTTAAACAGAAATCCAGATAAAATAAACTTATGTATTGACCAATGAATAAAAACGTGACACAAGGCTCACAAGAACTTAACCCCGTGTTCTTCCCAGGAGCAATGATTCAATATTTACTAAATCAGTGTTTACAGCAACTTTATAAACCACAGCTAATGTGAATAACAAAAACCAACTGTATTTCAGACAGGTGCACATTTTGAGAACAAATGCTTGACGCTCAAACCATTTGTAGCAGTAGTCACACAAAATAGATAAAGTAAGGTCTCGCTAGTTATTTTCGTTTAAAATATCACACACACAACCCAACTGATGACCAAGTTGATGCTTCAATATTAGCAAAGAACTGTCACTGCCTCCTTCTTACCGAACCAATTCTGAAAAGAAAGCATTGGACTATCAGAGGCACATTTTCAATGAACACTGTAATAGCAGTTGTCTTAGAATTTGGAAGGTGTTAAAGATACCTTTTTATGTTTGCTTTTGTTTCTGCAAATAGCCATTCAAAAGTGGATCTATTTCATGAATTATTCTACCATGATATTGATGCTGAAAGTGAAGCACATATAATCCAAAGATATATTTCGAGATCTATTTTCTATTGAACAGGTGATATATTAAAAACACACGTAGCAAATAATCCAGGGAGTCAACACAGAAGTAAAATGATCACTTTCAGAGTAAGAAGAGGATTGATATCTGGGGTATCATTAACATTCCAATAATAGTCATTATTAAGAACCTAAACCCAGTAATCTAAACTACTGAGTTTTCTTTCTAATGGATATGATTCCCATTACTTTAGAAAGCATTTTATTTTAAAAAATGAGGAAAAATGAGAGTGCCTCATTATTTCTTCAAGATATAAATAGGGCACTGACTGCATATTAACTCCGAGGTGTTCCCAGGTCAGTTCAAAGGTGGGCACTCCCATGTATATGAGCGCACACAGAAATAACACTAAGAATAAAGAGGCAAGAGATTACTCTCCAAGCTTTAAACACAGGCTAGGTTTATACTTTGTTTTCATACTTAGACTTTTTCTCTCTGTTATTATAAGAATAAAATTCTCAGTTTAGATGTATCAGATGTACAGTATACATTGACTATTAATCACAGAAGATGAGAATTTAATGAAGACTGCATCGATGGTCCTTTATAATCTTATCCCAGCCTTGAATCCCTTCACCACCCTTCCAACCTTCTTCCATCGCTTTCACCTCCAGTCCCATTCCTCTGTCTACCTCTCACCAGCTCTTACCCAAATATTCTTTGGACTTCATCTTGTCATTATCTTACCTGGAACTGTATCTTCCTTTCATATGATCCTTTCAGTTCCCATTCATTTCCCAAAGCGTTCCAAGAACCAATTGAAAATGTGTCCTCTTTTTCTGATTATCAAATTGTACCTATAATTTGCCCCATCTATGTGGCATTTTAAAAAATAAATGAACACTTTACATGTATGTGCATGTTTAACATGCCTATAGTTAGGTCATGTAAGGTATTTCCACCTCAGTAAGATTTTGCTGGGACAGGTTTCTTGTTATCTTTTTTATTCTGTTTTCCTGAGCATGTAAATTTTCAACAAGGTCCTGTGAGTTGCACTGTATTTCTTAATGGATATAACTACAAACCAGGTGTGAGAGAATCAGACTAAAGATGCAGAGAGATTTTCCAGGAGGAAACTGGAAATAAGATAAAGGATTAAAGACAAAAATAATTGTACCTAAATTAATAATATAATTCCTTTTATAATCATGTCTCCTAATTTTCTTATGTATACCTTACATGACAACCAAGTGCACACTTCCCCAAATATTGTTTCCTCCATCTGCGGGTTTTCATGTAGTCACCATGAGCTGGGTTCAAACCCCTGCTGCACTATGTAAGAGCTACATGACCTTGGACATGTAACTTAATCTCTTAAAGTCTCAGTTTCCTTATCTGAAAAAAAGGGATAAAACTGATACCTAGAGCACAGAATTTCTGTTAAGACAAATTGATATTAATAATGCAAAATACCCCAGCCTTCCCATCTTTTAAGGCAGTGTTTATCAGAAAATAGACGACAACCCATTGGGTTGGGAAATAAACTTTATGGGCTCCAACCAGGATTTTTGGTTAAGTGAAAATGAAGACTAGATTAGAATGGGCCATAACAGAGTATATAGCCCATAATATGGGAAGATATTGTTTTGTGAAATTTTTGTTTCTGATCTACATTAATGTGTGTTCTACACTGTGACATAAAACGTATTTCTCACTGAGGGTATAGGAATAAAAATGTTTGAAAAACACTTAGTTCACATTAGTTTCAATTGCTTGTCATTCATGAAGCTTCTCCAGATTACGTCACCCAGAAATGAACTCTCCTCTTCTGACCTTGCCCTCCTTTTTTCTGCCACATTCTATGTCATATTAGAGCCGCTTTTGTAAGTATCTCATTTTTACAGCAGAATCTCTTTGAACATCTAGGGCATGCATTGTTCATCTCTGGATACTTGGCAGGGTTACTCTGAATACTCTTAGCATATTTGTTTGCACATTATAAATGCTAAGTGCATATTTTGTTAATAGATGACTAAGTTTCACCCATATTTAATTCTAGAGGTGACAAATTGACAAGGGATGCCTGAAAAATAATCTAGAGGCAAATGTGCAGGAATGTACTTCAACAGGAGAGGGAAAGAAACCAATATCTACTTATTGGTTGCAATGAGGAATTCCTAACCACTAATATAAAATATTTTTAAACTTTAACAAAGTATTTTGTTATTGGGTGAAGCATTATCCTTTTAATCTACATAGGGCAGGACTTCTTAAACAGGACTTCATGGACAAACTTTAAGAGTACATAAGCTCCGCAATTGTATGTAAAATCTGCTTATACATGTGTATCTGCATGCACGCACGTGTACACACACACACACACATCCTAGAGTGCGAGGGTTAAAAACTTCACATCCTTTAAGCAGATGTTCCATGATCCAAGAAACCACAAATATGTCTGTGATATATCTCTTTCAGTAAAACCGAATTTCTCAACTTTCTGCATTTCCCCTTAGCCTTGACCCTCTTTCCTCTTATCTTAAAAGTCATCCAGCTAGAGCTAATAATCCAGCTTCTCTCCCTAGTCCAAAGAACACCCTCTGCTATAAAATTAGGCAGGGAGGGGGGCACTGTGAGTCTTTCAGGCCATTAGAAAATCATTTGGCCATTAGAAAATCATTGATGTCCTGTGGCCTGCCCCCTTTAGTAAGCTCCTACTCGCTCTCCAGAGCAGTAAATCACCTGTTGGCCCAGTACCTCGCCAGTTTCGGGAACATGTGATCATCATGTTCATTCGTCCTCTCTGGAGCTACAGAAACCTGATGGGTGGTGCAGAATCTCACTAAGGTTCCATTTGCTTTTGATCTTTCAGCTGGTTAAGGCATGAGTGACAGGAAAGCAACTACAACCAATGGTTGTTTGCGACCTCCCACATAATGGGGCTCCTAGGCAGGGGAGCAAGTATAGCAGCATCCAGAAAACTTGGGAGCAGAGAGCATCCAGTATTTAAGTGGAACTTAATGTATGCTCTTTGGTCTGCAGCTCTGCCTTTGGATTCCCCCTACCAGCGGAGCTTCTTCCAGCACACTCCCCATAATAAGCAGGAACGGCTGGGTAGCAGTGGGGGTGATGTAAACACAGTGGCTATTTAAACAGCTGCTTCCCTTCACCTTGAAGCTCATCCTCTCTCCTTCATACTGATTTCCACCATTAAAACTGACCTTGCTCTCCAGAGAGGAGACGCCAGAGCCTGGGGAACCTGACCTAAGGTTTAAAACCTAAGTAGAGATTTCCAGCCAGCCAAGGAGTATACAGACATCTTACTCTCTGATTTTTCCAGGGCAAAGTGTGCCACCTCTGCAGAGAAATGTTCTGATTCCAACTCAGTAGTTCTCCAAACATGCCCTTTTCCAACCTACAAGTCATCAGCTTGCAGGAAAGTAGTCTAGGCTGGATGCTAATACAAGAAGTCTGGACTCTCCCAGCAGTAATTAGCTGGAGGAAGGGAAGTGAAATAAATTGATTCCTGGTTTTGTTTTTCTTTTGCATGAGATGTAAAAGCTTGAAATATGCTTCTCTTCACGTACCCCTCCCCAATTGACCACTTATCTTCTGGGCAAACAGTTTTGTGGTGAAATCAAATCACTAAAAAGGTGACTCTTTTTGGAGAAGTAGAACTTAGGACAACAGCGTTCTGCACTGTCTCTTATCCCCTGAAGGTGCAGTTTTCTATTCTTGGCTGAGTTTTTCTTTCTCCTTACTTCCCATTATACCTCATACTGTTTGACTTTCAGCAGCCGCAGCCTGGGGAACATCTGAGCTTGGCTACCTTTCTTCTTTGCTGTCCATAATAACTCCCTTCCTTCTGGATGGGCAGGATATTAATCCTCCATATGGTTCCTGATGAATTGGAAACAGGACAGGCGGTATCCATTCGCCAGCGGGCTCCCCTTACTCATAGTCAGTTTCCAGGGTAGTATTTGCCAGTAACCTGAATTTTTCACACAAACAGGAAAGAAGGTTTCAAATTCCCATCCCTATCCACAGCCCTCAGCAGAAAGAGGTGCAGTGGCTCTCTCCCCTCCTGATGTCCATTCCAGTCAGTAACCATGTAGTCTTGCATGGTGTGCTCATCAAACTTCCGTCTGACCTAGAAATATTCATGGTAATGATAAAATAATAAAGATATATTTGCAGACTTCTTCCCATTTCCCTGCTCTTAGCACTCACTTCCAAAACAGGCCTGTTTAGACTTCTCTGGAGGAGTGGTTATTATGGATACTTGGAATTTGGGAGTCCTGCACTTTTCTAATGCAGCTGCTCCCTTAGCCTCTATTCCTGCCTCCTTTGGAGTGAAGAGAGCCTCATTTGCTTACTCCTCCCTCCACAGCCCTCAGCCTCACCAAAGAGCAAGTAGTCTCAGCATTCGTTCCAACCTGCACACTGTTCCACTTTACTTAAAGCATCACAGGAGGCTAAGTGCAGAGGTTCACACATGTAATCCTAGCACTTTGGGAGGCCAAGGTGGGAGGATCACTTGAGGCCAGGAGTTTGAGACCAGCCTGGGCAACATAGCCAGACCCCATCTCAACAACAACAAAAAATTTAATAAATCTCCAAGCATGGTGGTGCATACCTGTAGTCCTAGCTACTCAGGAGGCTGGGGCTGGAGGATACCTTATTAAGCACAGCAGTTTGAGGTTGCAGTGAGCCATGATTATGCCACTGCACTCCAGCCCAAGCCACACAGTGCACAGTGAGGCCTATTCTAAAAAAAAAAGACACCAAAAGGAGTACAAAGACCTCCATGTGCTTCAAAATATGAACTTCCATCCCATGAGATCCCCCAAATTCAAATGGCCCTATCACAGACCACCAGCCCCTCACTGTGCTCTTCCAATGAGCCACTCAGTAGCAAACACTCTTTGATATCAACTCTTGTCCTAAAGGAAACTGAGTTGCCTCTGAGGGCAATGTGCTCCCAGCAGCCTCTCGCTCTCAGCCCTCCTAGTCCCAGGTCTGGGCTTCTTCCTCTGCTTTCTGACCTTTCTTCCCTTTATCATTGAAGCACATGCCTCGGTCTCCGCTCCAGTAACTCTGCCTGATTGGGTTTACTTACAATGATCCTAGGACCCTCCTCTGTCACAGAAAATCGTAGCTTCTGGCTCCCTGGTTGTGTCCTGAGATAGTTCCTGCTGATTCAACATAAATGACCATCTCAACTCTCCAGCCTCTCAGCGATTTGGTCTCCTCTTCTCTAATGACCACTGGAGAAGAGGGCTATTCTCCAGCGGTACTCTGCCCTGTCTTGGCCCCCCACGCCCACAGTCACGCCCTAGACCTATGCATTGGTTAGTACTGCACCCCTGCCTGACCACAATTTCAGGCCCCTTGTTTGGACGTCATCTCCTCTTATCTTTTGCCAGCTCACCCTCTCATGTACCCCAACTCCAAAAATTATTCTATCCCACCAGGGTTTGCTTTACAAACCATTGAGGCCTAGAGTTTTCACTTGCCTTGCCCAGCTTAGAGCCTACGGTTCACGTCCACAGTTATGCATTGCCCTGCATGTGCCCTTCCCTCCCTTTGTCATTATGTGGGAAAGCCCAGACCTTGAATTCACCCCACTTTCTGCCTTCTTCCCACCTCCACAGGAGCAACTGGCCACAGCTTGAAGAAACATAAACCCATTTTGTCATGTCACTTTCTATCCACAACGTGAACTTTTTGAGTGTGCCTTATTTTTGCTTTATCTTCTCATCGTGATTGTGAGACTGATGCAGGTTTTGGGTGTAGCAGTAGCACATTCATTCATTACCATGTAGTATGATAGTTTGTTAGATGAATATACCACTATTTGCCATTTCACTACTCATGGACATTTGAGTTTTTATCAGTTATAAATATTTTTGTAAATGTCTTTTTTGGTATATGTGGAAACATGTAAGAGTAGAATTCTGGGTCACAGGGTGTATCTGTGTTTAGCTTTTGTAGGTCTTACAATACTAAAAAGCACTATATCAATTAATACGCTTATGAACAGTGTACAAGACTTCCTTCTGCTCCACATTTTTACCAACACTTGATAATGTCAGGTTATTCCACTATAGTCACTCTATTAGGCATTTCGTATGATCTTATTTTTAGTTTTAACTTACATTTTTCTGATAACTAATGATGTTGAATAACTTTTCGTATGTTGATCGACCTTTTTGGTAAAGTGACTGTTCCAATCTTATGTCCATGTTTTGTTTGGGTTGTCTATGCATTTCTTATCATGTAGAAGTGCTTTCAATATTCTGGATGTGAGCTCCTAGTCATTGAAAATACAGCCATACATTGCTCAACCATGAGGATATGTTTTAAGAAATGTGTCCTTCTGTGAACGCCATAGAGGGTACTTACACGCACCTAGATGGTATAGTCTACTACACACCCAGTCCATATGGCATGGCCTATTGCTTCAAGGCTGCAGACATGGATAGCATTTACTGTACTGAATGCTGTAGGCAATCATAACAGGATGGTAAGTATTCAGTATCTAAACATGTTACAAGATAGAGAAAGATGTGGTACCAATACAGTGTCATAATCTTATAAGATCCCTTTTGTATGTGTGGATTGAGGCTACATTGCAATTATCTCCTTATTGTGGCCTGTCTTTTCATACTCTCCATGGTGTCTTTAGATGAAGAAACGTTTTCACCTCATTAGTCTTTTCCTTTATGATTAGTGCTTTTGGTATCCTGTTAGAAAATTTTTGCTTTGCTTATCTTATGAAACATATTCTTCCGTATTAAAAGCCCTATTGTTTTATCTTTCACAATGAAGTCAGTCTTTAATCTACCTGAAATTGACTAACAGATTTTTAAGTATGATGTATGTATTAGTTAAGTCTCTGTTGAAGAATACTTTGGAGTGTAGGATACTTGAAGGTAAAAGTCCTTAACATCCCATACAGAAGGACTATGCCTGCAGATACTAAAACATCTGTTCAATTTAGGCCCAAAAAAATCTATTAAGTTGATGATTCCATACCATGTTGACCAACTAAATGAATGGTATTCTAACATTATGACTAAAATGGTTCAATTACCAGTTTAGTTTTGGCCTTGTGTAAACACCAAAGGGACTAAACATAAAACTCTACTTAGAAAACAGTAATCTTGAAACTGGCTTCTGGCCCAGACATAATTACTCCCAAGATACACCTGTTAACAAACTTGGGCTTGATTTCCTTAGTCACCTCTTATTATGATTATAAATTAATCATTTTCCTGGCAGGGGGCTGACTCAAGTCTGCTAAGTTTCCTCTGGCTTTTGTATCTAGTAACTATCCCTTTCCCTGCTATTCTAGGCAAATCAGCTAATTAATATGAAATTAAAACATAAATAGGTTTAAAATTACCACAGGCCACAATGTATAATTTTAGATTTTGTGACAGAGGCAACATAATTTTTTAAGGTCCTTTTAGCTGTAAGAGTTTATATATATACATTTATGCATACATAAACACACATTTATAAATAAATGTACATATATAGAGCTACATAAATTTTTGCATGTACATTTATATATAAAACTATAAATTGTAAGAATTATTAACAATTATAGAGATTTCTGTGAAAGAATAAATTTGCTTTATTTATTCAATCTGAAATCTTACCATTATTAATGTAACCTAACATTTCATAAAATCAATAAAGTAACCATCTATAATTCTATCACTCAGATATTACCAATTTTATTACTTTGGGGATATTTCCTTTTAGTTTTTTTGAAATATTTAAGTATTTTTCAAATGTACAATGTTGCATTTTCTGAAGTGGTTTTATGTTTCTGCAGATGTGTTTACTACTTTGGTTTTCCCACAGCCTTGAGTGCATGACCATTGGAGTCTCAGCAGTTTTTTTTTTTTTTGAGGGGGGTATGATAAGGGATTCAGGGAGCTGGACTGCAGAGCACTTCCTATAGCATGCTCCGTCTTGTACAGGCCCTGGGATTTCTGTACGGTCTCTGTCTACTGAGAAGACCATCAAAAATAAGATTATAATATTAGAATTGCCAGACTTTCAAAACAAAAGTGACTTCCATGCTTCCTTAACTTTTTGGGTAGTCATTTATGTTATGTAAAATAATGTATATTAAAATGTCCATCCAGTTTTTTTGTACTTTTCAGCAACTTATGCAAGTAACAGAGTGCTCTATGGAATATGCTTTATCCTATGATGTTAAATGAAAAACTTGGGCCAAGCATGGTGGCTCACACCTATCATCCTAGCACTTTGGAAGGCTGAGGTGGTTGGTGCACCTGAGTTTGAGACAGCCTGGCCAACATGATGAAACCCTGTCTCTACTAGAAATATAAAAAATAGCTGGGTGTGGTGATATACACCTGTAATCCCAACTACTCAGGAGGCTGAGTCAGGAGAATCACTAGAACCTGGGATGCAGAGGAGGTTGCAGTGAGCAGAGATCGCACCACCGCACTGCAGCCTGGGAAACAGAGTGAGACTCCATCTCAAAAATAAAAATAAAATAGAAAAATAAAAGCTTGGATATATTTTGGGATACAATTTAAATGTGCAATACTTCTAAAAACACAATAAAAGATTTAAAATACACTTTCTGCTTGTTGTGGATCACCTGATACTTCACCTGTGGTCAGCCTCACCTTCCTTTCCTGCCAACCCTCATGCTCCCCAACACACACACAGATGCATACAAACACCTTTTTTTGTCACTGTTTTTCTGTGGGAAAATAGATGAAGAGAACTTTCCCATTTTATTTATATTACATCTCTTGGATCTATTCTTCTTGCTTTTATATTTTTTTATAGTCATTACTTGTGAGGTTCTTTTTTTTTCTCGCTCTGAGCTATGGAGGATTTCACAAGCTGTTTATCTAATTTCTTTGATTTACTATTCATTCTGTTCTTTAAGGCCTCCACTCTATTTGCCATTTTTAGTCTTTTTTCTCTGAAAGTATTCTTTCTTGCTCTCAAATTGTTCCTTTTTCATTTATATAATACCTTATGGAATCCATTGAGAATATAAATTACATTTTAAAAACCGTTTTCTGCTGAAGTCAGCTTGGTGCATGATCTGTCTCTTCACAGAACGTTTCCTCCGATAATTCAGATGCATCACTTTTTTTGAACTACGGAATTTTTTCCAGTATAATATTTTTCTTTGTTTTGTTATTCTTTTAGATGTTTGTATGCATCCAATACGTGGAGCTCAAATAAGTTGTCTTGAAAAATATATATACAGAAAGAGAAAGAACATATATATATATATATAATTTTTTTTCAGATCTTTTTATCCTTAAAAAGGAAAATATCTCTCTCTCTCTCTCTCTCTCTCTCTATCTCTCTCTCTCTCTCTCTCTCTCTCTCTCTCTCTCTCTTTCTCTCTCTCTCTCTCTCTCTGTCTCTCATCTATTCTTTGCCCAGGTAAGACTTCACCTCCCTGTGGAAGTAGGGAGAGAGTTGTTCAGCAGAGAATTCAATAGCTTACCAAGTTTCCTTCTCTGTTTGCCGTTGCACTGCCTTCATTAGGAGCCCCTGTGACTCAAGGAGCGTCTGCTCCGACTTCCCGATCGCTAAAGTTACCAAAACCAGTTCTCTTCCCCGAGGCTACCAAACCAGTTTTTGTGTACACCGAACGTTTCTGTTACCGTCACAAAGCTCACTGCTAAAGAATTTTTCCCCTTCCTACCTCACCGATATTCTCTCAAAGAGCTGTCCCTCCCTTCTGTTCTCTGGGAAGCCCAAGGTAATCTCTTCCCTGTATTGAGGCTTTCACAAAAGGCAGGAAGAGCCTAGGGCTTTTGTGTTCGGCTCTTCAAAAATTCCCTGGGCAAGAAAATATTAAGGGCTTTCGTATGTGCTTGAAATCGGAGAATTAAAAGATCAAGAGAGCGAAATACAGCTTAGCTCAAGAACGGCAAATTGCTGTAAGGTATCTAGTTATCAAAGCGTAGAAGTCACATTTAAGTACGGATTCCTTGAAAGAAAAGGGAAATAAGAACAGAAACAAAAAGAATGGAAGTTACTTTTCCATTGCTTCAGGAAGGTCTTTGGCCAATATTGGGACTGGTGACTGTTTTATTTCTCCTATTTGAAGAAATCAAAGCAAATGAGCAGATAGTTATTTTGAAATGTGTGTGCTGAGTATGAGGAAGAAAATACTTTCACCAAGTGTCCCAAGTTTATTTCTCATCAATGATGACATGGGATTGATGTCACCAGCAACTCTTAGGTGGTCAAGGATATGAATTTGGATTACTGACATGGGAGTCTAAGTTTTGAAAAAATGTTAATAAAAGTTATACTTTGGGTCATTTCAATAGGAACTTAGGAGAATTCAAAGTGAAACAGTGAATCAATTTCTTTCTTTTTTTAGACAGAGTTTCGCGCTTGTTACCCAGGCTGAAGTGCAATGGTGCCATCTCGGCTCACCGCAACCTCCGCCTCCTGGGTTCAGGCAATTCTCCTGCCTCAGCCTCCTGAGTAGCTGGGATTACAGGCACGCGCCACCATACCCAGCTAATTTTTGTATTTTTAGTAGAGACGGGGTTTCACCATGTTGACCAGGATGGTCTCGAGCTCTTGACCTCGTGATCCATCCGCCTCGGCCTCCCAAAGTGCTGGGATTACAGGCTTGAGCCACCGCACCCGGCCTGAATCAAATTTTTAATGTGGTTTTACCATCACCATTAAAAGCTGTAGGAGATAAAGAAACCAATATATGACAATACCAAAATATGCCTCTGTACACCTTCAGTACTGGGTTGGAACTCTCGGCCGTGTTTGATGGCACTGCATTTCACTTCAAATTGAAGTTAATAAGAGAAATCTCCCTAAACAGTTATTTGAGTATTTGTACTAATAGTCTAGGATGAAGCTTTAATCTTAACATCAAGGTCAAATCTAACACTACCATCCCTGAGTCAGAACAGGAATAGGTGAAGCTAACCTTCACCAAGAGCATCTATGCAGCTATGGTTAGCTGTCATAGGTAGCTTTACCAAGTAAGGCGGGCACATCACTGATATGGCAGGCCACCAGATTATTGTCAAGTGGTAGGAGGTGATTTTTGGATGATTGTATCTGTTTTGAAAGTATATAGAAGCTTAGTTTACCACGTGGACAACTGGTAACTGCCAATTCAACTTTAGATCTGAGAAATTTTGATTATTTACTACAACTGCTAAGGATTGTATCCTTAGCAGGATACATGTATCCAAAATACTAAGGCCTCAGTCCAAATATGGAACTGTTAAAACTGTGGCCAAATATAGCATTTAAATCACTGTTAACATCACCAACTTCATTATTAGAAAACTTAATGCAGTAATATGAAAATTTCAGTGAATAACAATAATAGTTGTTGTTTACCAAATGCTTTCCATGAGCTGAACACTGTGGTAAGTATTTCACTTCTTTTTTTTCTGATTTAAACCTCCCGACAACCTTATGACTTATTTTGCAGAACAGGAAACTGAGGCTTAAAGAAGTTAGGTAAGTTACAGGTGTCAAAGCAGGGTTTTGAATTCACATTTTTCAGATTCTAAAGTTGGCATTTGTATTAGTCAGTTCTCACACTGCTATAAGGAAATAACCCGAGCAGGGTAATTTATGAGAAAAGGGATTTCACTGGCTCACAGTTCCACAGGCTGTACAGGGAGCACGGCAGCAACTGCTTCTGGGGAGGCCTCAGGGAGCTTTTACTCATGGCGGAAGGCAAAGCAGGAACAGGCATCTTACATGGTGGAAGCAGGAGGAAGAGAGCAAGTGGGGAGGTGCCACATACTTTTAAACAATCAGATCTCATGAGAACTCACCATTGTGATGACGGCACCAAAGAAGATGACGTTAAACCATGAGAAACCACCCCCATGATCCCATCACCTCCCACCAGGCCCCAGCTCCAACACTGGGGTTTACAATTGAATGTGAGATTTGAGTGAGGACACAGAATCAAACTAAAGCAGTATCCTTTTCATTAAACCAGGTTACTTCATGCATAGACTTTATATGAAAAGATCCCTTTTGCTGCAGTTTACATTTGAGGCTTTGATTATCTGAACTTGGAGTGGATGTTTAGAAAGGGTAAAAGGTTGTATATGAGACTTTTTCAAACATCATAATCTATCATATCTACCCTTAAATAAGGATGAGTTATAGTCAAACTATATGTAAAGAAAATATTGAACATGTTTTCCTTTAAAGTATATCATGAATCTGTAATAACTTTGAACATAAGAGTAAAGATTGATGGATGCTCTGAGTTTAAGTGCTGACAAACTTATCTTTGGAGCAAGGTAACTGATTAATTAGTATTTATTTTCCAACAATGCTAACTGTGCTTTTCGAGAAAATAATAAAGAGAGATGTGCTCCTACTCTGACGCAACAGCCTTGGAGAAGAGAAACTGCGATCAAGTGATGCAGTAGAACAAGATTATACAGTCTTGTGAGAACCAATTAATAAATTTTCAAAAATTTTTTGCATATTCTCACTCATATGTGGGAGCTAAAAAAGTTGATCTCATAAACTTAGTAGAATGATGGTTACAAGAGTCTGGGAAGAGGAGGGAGGAGGAGAATGAAGAGAGGTTGGTTAATGGATACAAAAATATATTAGGAAAGAAGGAGCAAGTTCTAGTGCTCTGTAACACAGTAGGATGACAATAGTTGCCAATAATTCATTTCATATCTCAAAATAGCTAGAAGAGATGATTTCAAATGTTCCCAACACACAAAAATGATAAATGTGTAAAGTGATGGATGATCTAATTACTTGATCATTACACGTCATATGCATGTATCAAAATATCACATGTACACCATAAATGTGTGTAATTATGTATTGATAACAAATAAAATAGGCCTGTTGAGGAGTGGAGGGCAAGGAGAAGGAGAGCATTAAGACGAATACCTAAGGCATGCAGGTCGTAAAACCTATATGACAGGTTGATAGGTGCAGCAAACCCCCTGGCACATGTATACCTAAGTAACAAACCTGCACATTCTCAATATGTATCCCAGAACGTAAAGAAAAAAAAAGAATAATGAAAAATAAAAATAAAATACAAAATGCAACATTTCAAGAATTTTGTGAGTTGTTAAATGCAGTTATTTATTTATTTATTTAGATAGGGTCTTGCTCTGTCACCCAGGCTGGAGTGCAGTGGCATGATCTCAGAAATGCAGTCATTATTAAAAGTAAATTATATAGTCTTACAATTAAATTACATAATGTTACAATTAAATTGTGTTGAAAACACAGGTGATAAATCCACGAGGTTACTTCCTAATTATTTTATTACATTGTAGTGTTATCCATGTTCTTGCAGTTCTTTCTATTGCTTACGCACTGTGGAAATATCACGAGACCATGCTACTGCACATGTCTTCCCAACCCACATCAGCCTGGCATCGGCCCCGGTGGGAGTGTTTACACCACACTAACTGGCAAACCCTACAAATCAAGGCTGGAGTTATTGTGTTGTTGAATATCTAGACAAGCTTTGGCAAACCAAAATCAGTTGGCCAAATTGAGCCTATGATCTTTTTCTCTAAAGTTTTATTGAAGGACAATCAGGTCCACTTGTTTCTGAATTGTCTATGGCTGCTGTTGTACTACAATGGCTGAGCTGGGTAGTGGTAAGACAAACAATGTGGCTCATAAATCCTAAAATATTTTATAGTTGTCTGTTTACAATCTCTCTTCTAGACTTAAAACACTGATGGAAAAATACATTAACAATACAGGTTAAACATAAAAAAAGGGGTCATGTGGGTAGCCATTACACCGACTAGCACTCAAACTTGGGAAAATATCCTTACAGTAGTCAAAAACTATTAATTAATTCAGCAAAAAAGTTGCTCATGCAATTCACAAACGAGTGAAATTCTAATATATGCAGTGCTAAAGTTGAAAGAAATTTCAGTTAACAAATATAATTTGTTTAAAGGTGACAAATAGTTTAAAGGTAGACCATATATCAGCTATAATGATGATAAGTGTGTTAGAAAAAGAGTGGCAAATTGGGATGCAACTCTGTTTGTCAAATCATGGTTGAATTGTAATAGTAGTTTAGTTGTAGATGCAGGAATTTGGCAAAATTCAATGAAAGCATTCTGTGAAAGTCAACTGGCTGTATAAATTTATTATAAAAATATTATAAATTTTATTTATGAATTATGTATTGCATATTGTTGATATCAGTGAAATTAATAAATCTATGTACTTATACATATGCATATAATTTTTCCAAGAGAATCAGTTATTTAACATTTACCAGCACACCACCAATCAGGCTGCAATTAAGTATCTAACTGCTGCTTGCCTCAGTGATGTTAGGAGATCCAGTTTGTTCCAGTGATTTTTTTCTATAGGCAAACCAAGCACATAAAAATTGGGTAGTAGATAGTAGTCAAATCAGACAGGACACTTGACAATCCTTAGTCCCTGTAAAGTGATAAGCATCATACCTCTCATAACTACATCCAACCCAAAGGAGTACGTGGTACAATTAATTACCTTGGGACCAGAGATAAAGAAAGTTGAGAGTCAGGCAGTTGGTACCTGTGTTGATCAGGAAATAAAAAATGCTATGGATTACAAACAACTGTAGAAGCTCAGTGACTCAAATAGTTTTCTTTCTTGCTCACCTCATAGTCCAATGTGGTTTAACGAATTGAGAGAAGTGTCTCTGCTCCATACTCACTCAGGGATCCAGGCTCCTCCCATTCAGTTGTTACACTATCCCAGGGTTCTTGAGTCCATGGGATGCCCTGTGTCAGGCTGACCCAAAAGGAGAGTGCATGGTGGTTTGAATGGGCGATTTTAGGCACTAGATCTGGGAGTGACATACAATACTTCCAGTCCATATCTCATTAGCCAGAATCTGATTAGCAGCAGGGACTGGAAAAAGGTAAACTTCCCACTTTCCCAGGAAGAAATCGAAAGGAGAATTTGTGAACATATGGCACTGCCTCTGTCACTACTTCCCTTTTTCTTCTTTGCCTCACAAGCTCCAATAAACAGGACATTTTCCCTTCTAAAGTGTATGCCAGTGAGGATACTTGATTTAGTTGAACTGTGTAGTAATCTTGAAATGACTTCAATAAGCTTATCCATAGTCTTCTGTTGCAGACACGCAGGTCTGAGGATGGTCCCCAGATTTTCCAATATATGCATATTGCTTGGAGATCGTGGGAGGAATAAGATGTGAGGTTATGGACATTCTTGCTTTTATGTAATTGTTTTTCTACCTTAAGTTTTACAAAATAGTTACTCAAAGTCCCAATTAGTGCATATATCTTTAGGTCGGTGCATTCCTTTATGTTCTTGCAATCTCTTGATGTTTTTTAAGCCTTATATGTATGTAAGGGTGGGTGGGGGATAAAAAGGGATATTAGGAAAGCAGATAAAGCGTGGAGAATACTAAGGAGAGGTCCAGGAACAGAAATGCATCCTGAGGAACATAATTGCCTCGTTACATTTGCAAAGCGCAAAGACAAGAACATGAACTAGGGGTAAAGTGATTGCCTGTGTGTGTTGTGTGTCTGTGTGCATGTTGGTGGGTGTGTGAGTGACTTGCTGAACTCTATTTCTGGAGCATGATTCTAAGGGCAGCAGAGTAGGAATGTGCTCCTGGAAAGGCATCAAGCAAACAGGCGACCTTCCTCTTCCCAACCTGGGTGCCAATGGTGACATATATGTGAGGGAGGTGCCTCCACATGCCTCTTCCCATCTGCTTCCTGGGTTTTTGAACAGAATAGAAATGCTGAGAGTCACAGGAAAGCCAGAGCCACTGCTGTCAGTTGGCCCAAGGACACCTGTCCTCATGGTGTTTGGCACAACCCAAGTCACCTGAACTTTAATGAGGGCAGCAATCCAGGCCCGTCCACCGTAGGAGTTGCACGTGCAATAGAAGGCTATTGTTTCCAGGTGTCTCTCCTTAAGACAGCAAAGAAGCCATGAAAGAGAGAGATTTGAGGATCCAGGAAGTAAAACGTAAGGACCATCCAGCATCTATCTGATTGGGGCCCTCTTTAGTTCCTTGTTTCTGTGGAAAGGCTCCCACCTGTGTAGTCCTTGCCTGCATCTCTCTTCTGGGTCTCTCCTGGTGTAATTTTACCATTGTCATAGGGAGTATTCTGGGAGAGGCCTTCCTATTCTTGTAACCTGCAGAGGAATGACAGATGAATGTGGGGGAAGGGGAAGCACATGTCCCCCTCTTTGAGTGGGCTTGTGTGACTTCAAGTCAAGCAGAGCTATAATTGCAAATGAGCTTTTGAAAGGAATATACTCCCAAATGTCAAGGGTTGCATCTTCCTTAACTGTCTTTCTGTTTCCCGTCTATCTTTTTTCCTGAAATTTGTTTTTGATAAAGGGGAGAATCCTACTCCCCAAAAATAAAAATATTGGAACTAGGTATAGTTGGAGAAGTTGGCTACAAAAGAGCACCACAAAGGAGTTTGGGGAGGTGAGAATTTTCTATATCCTGATTGTGGTAATGATTATCTGACTCCATGTATTTATTAGAACTTATGGAACTCCACACCCAAAAAGTGATTTTACCCTTTATAAAGTAAAAAGTAAATTTAAAAATAGCTCAGACATGTCAATAATGTTGTATTATAATTCCCTTTATGAAAATAATAATATGAATTTAGGGGTAAGAAAACATTTATTTAGATCAATTGAATTGTCCTACTCTATCCAATATGGTAGCCAGTAGCACATGTGGCTGTTGAGCACCTAAAATGAATAGAACAAATGGAAATAAGTGTAAAATACACACCAGTTTCAAGGACGTCATGCAAGAGAGAATGCAAATACCTCATTAACAATTTCATATTCATTACATATTGAAATGGTAATGTTTTGGACAGATGGGATTAAATAATATGTATTATTAAAATTAATTTTATCTGGTTCTTTTTATTTATTATGGCTACTAGAAAATTTAAAGTTATATTTGTGATTCACACTGCTTCTATTGGACACTGCTGGCCTGATACTGTGTACAAGGAATAATAGAATTGCAGAATTAGTAACTAGCTTGGAAACTCCCTTTTAGTTAACCACTCCTCTGCAATTTTATGCTCCTCCAAAGCTTGTTCTTAGCCATCGGTCATTTCTTCTCTATGTTCCATTTTGTTATGGAACTGAGACTTAAAGTATAGTCTGTAATCAAATCACTCCTAAATATTGATATTCCAATCCTACATCTATCTAAACCAGTGGTTTTCCAATCAGGGCTGATGTTGTGCCACCCACCCCGCCAGGGGACATCTGACAATGTCTGGATACATCTTAATTGTCACAACTTGGAGAATGAGAATACTTCTGGCATCTAATGGGCAGAGGCCAGAGATGGTGCCAAGCATCTTACAGTAGGTAGGACAGCCCCCAGAATACAGAACTATTCAGTCTAAAATGTCAATACTGCTGAGGTTGAGAAACACTTGTAAATATTTGTCAATTTCCTCATTGATATAACAAATGTATATTGACAACCTATTATGTGAAACTATGCTAAGTATTTTGAGGAAATCAAAAATAACTTAGATATAAATCCTACATTTACCATATTTACAGAGATAAAATTCACAGTTGAAACAGAGTAGGTGATCAATAATATCATAATAAGATAATGTCATAAAGAGATTATGCTAAATGATAGGTAAGAATATGGATGACTTCTCACTTGTATTCTTTGTTTTCAAAAGCCAACATAATATTTCTAGTTGGATATTTTTTTCTTGCTTATTTTATTTTATTTATTTACTTAAATTTTTTCTTTTTTTCTGTTTATTGTATTTTAAGTTTTGGGGTACATGTGCAGAACATACAAGATAGTAGCATAGGTAGACACGTGGCAGCGTAATTTGCTGTATTCCTCCCTTTCACACACATCTGGCATTTCTCCCCATGCTATCCCTCCCCAGTTCCCCCCACCGCTGTCCCTCACCTATTCCCCCCAATAAACCCCCATGTGTAGTGCTCCCCTCCCTGTGTTAATGTGTTCTC